GCCTCTCTGCTCCTATGATGCTGCTTGGCCTGCTGTGTTCATCCAGCCCTGCACCTTGTCGTCTCGGATTCTCCAGCATCTGCAGTTCCTACTATCTATGATTGGATAGCTGAAAGGTTCTATGACATAGATGTGAAGTCAACATCTGCATAAGTAATGATATTCCTCATGGCAACATGTAGATAAGGAAAAGAAGAGGCTTCCAATGCATTCTTAGAGGTCACCCAAGATAATAGGGGAGGGGAGAAGAAATATGTTTTGCTAGATACACGCTGATTACTAATATAGATAGCAGCGGTAGCCCAAGGAGCTAGGCAACAAACGAAAGGCACTGGAAGTGCTCGGTAGGATCAACACAAAGTTGCAGACAGGATCAGGGCAAAAAAATGTACCAGTCACAGTAATGTCATTCCAACCTTTGTTACAACACCAACTTGTATTTATGTTGTACCTTTTAAATATAAAATATTCCAGGATGCTTTACAGGAGACGTAAAATGGGATTTGAAGCTACTTAGACAGACATTAGGGTAAGTGAACAAAAGATTAATCAGAAAGGGGGATTTTAAGGAGCATCTTAAAAAGGAGAGTGTTAGCAAGCTAGAAAACAGGTACCACTATTCCTGAAGTCATCACAGAAGTTAAAGATTGTAAAAAAAGTTTGCAGAATCCCTAATGTTCCTAACATTCAGACCCAGGTTGACAAAGCACAGATATGGTTTCTGTAATTAACAAAACGATTATTTATTACATACAGATTCTAGCTACCAATAAACAGTATGACCCAGTGGCATATAACTGTACTAGTTAAAACTCTAGTCCCTTACAAATGCCCCTTACAAGCAAATACAGACAAACACAGAAAACACTGTAACTGGGGAAGAGAATGAACTGCCTTGCCAATCTGTGATCCCTTTTCACAGGATTTGCTGAGATTCTTATGCTGATCAGAATGCTGCTTCTTGATCTTCCTTCTTTGGATGCTTCCACTTGTTTGTAGAGGCACAGGGTGACAGACTCATACTTATTTAGAAGTCAGAGCTTATAGCAACCAAAGGAAAAGTAAACTGGTTTTCTTCAGACTTAGGGTTTTGTCCTGCAAAGAATAAGGAGATTTCTGGTGCTCGCAGAGATCAAACTTCTTCTCACTATCTTGTTCACAGCCTCAAGCTTTTCAGTCACCTAGATGCTAAACACAGTTGTTGACAAGCAGAAGGCCTTTGCATCAATAACTGGTCACGAGTCCATAGGCCAATTAGCTACTTTGTCGAATGAATCAGTTTGTACATAATCCCTGGCTCCAGCTCATCTGCAAATCTGTTATTACTGTAAAATTTCCTGTAAACATTTACAGGAAGTATCAAACTACTTGTTTTTATAAAGTACAGCTATTCTCTACTATACATTCTTTTTACAGAAGTTTTTTTTTCCCCATTCGTGTACAATTATAAAAACAAAAATACATGAACTTTAGAGAGGGGATAAATTGAGGGTGGAGAGATTCAGGGAGAGAATTCCAGAGCTTGGGGTTCTGACAGTGGAAGATATGACCACCAATGCTGGAACGCTTAAAATCAGAGATGCATAAAAGGGAAAATTAGTGAATCTTGAGTGGGATTTTGATATGGGAAAGGATAGATTCTGGAAGGTGCAGCAAAATCCCCAAGGAAAGGAAGTCAATTTGAAATGTCAGTTTGTAATGGGCCTAAAACAAAAGGCTGAGCAGCATATCTTCTTAGTAGTTTCACTTTATTCGTACAATGTGCCAGAAGTTTGCCAAACCAGTGCAAAATATCACTGAATTTTAAGTACAAATTAAATCCAGAATAAATTTGGCTTTCATGATCTTTTGCACTCATTCAAAAAACATCACTCTAGATTTTGGTCCCATCTACGAAACATGCCACAACTACAAACTGAATTAATCCCAATAAAATTTAAAGTGTTCAATTTGTCTCCTCACATTATAGCTATGTTTCAAAAGCTAAGTTTATTTTATTTAGAAAAGGAAGTGACATCAAATTAATGAAATTTATTTGTTATTTTGCACTATATTAAATCAGTCTATGGACAACGATTAAAAATGCTCATCTTTAGTAAGTTAGCTCCATTAATCAAACCATACCAATGTTCCCAGCCCTTAAGCAGTGAGGGCAATGGCGAGAAATATGGGAAAATATGGCAAGATTTTAAATCTCAACATTGAGGATTTAAAAAGTTTGAATTTTTCCATTAAGGCTTCAACACAGAGTTCTGAATTTCAATAACTGCCGGCAATTTCCTTATTTCCATGCATTTGTATCTCGTTACTAGCTCATCTCACCTCAATCTGCTTCATCCCCTCAGAGCTTCACTTCAAAGCTCAGAAATGCGCTCCTGTCAAGGCACTTTGCACACAAAGACAAACAAATGCATCTACAGAAGATGCATCTTATGGCTTTTGTTTTCATTTCTTAGCACTCTGAAGTACTTGCAGGCTGCTAGTCCCTGGCTATAAAAAAAAAAAGCTGTGTAATCTACAGAGGGCAGGAAGGATTAGTAGTTGTGGAGGATGGGATGGATGAGGGCTCCTAATTGGAAATGCTGCATGTAATGTTGAGAAATGCAGTTCAGGAGGTGCAATGGCAGAGTTAGAGAAAGTGTGAGATATGAAGAGAAGGTGGTGGCACTTACCCTTTTGGAGCACAGAGCACTTTTTCCCTGCAGACCTGTGCATTCCATATGACCCTGGATACAGTGCTGACCACAATCACCATGGGCAAGCCAGCTGCCTTTGGTGCCTTGGCCTATTGAGTTGTCTGACAGGTAGGGGATAGCCCTCCCTCTCAACCTCACTATCCATCAGAATCCCCAGGGTGCCAACCTCCCTTTAATGAGATGTTTCAGTTTACTAAGAGGATTGTGTGTGAGCCAACTCCTGGCTTGCAGCATCTGAAATAGTCTGCAGCTTGGCTTTAAATATGGCACCAAAGGTTGGTATACTGAAACATCTCAGCATCAGTGGGAATTTTGTCTCTCCTGTTGCGTGATTGCATGGGAAGGATGCCAGAGATGCAGGCTGCATAATGAATGAGGTGAGAAAAGTCACTGTAATCCACGACGGGACACTTGTTATGAAACTCCAAGAATAATGGCCTTAAAAGTTCTTTTTTAAAGATTTTTTCATGATTATGTTCTGACTTTCAGCAGATTTTATGTTCAGCAATACGCAAATAGATTAGTTCAGATATTTGGACGGTGAAATATTTTCTCAAAACGAGCTAACTTTGAAACAGTTTTGCACCCAAAAAAGAAACTGCACTCCAGTACGTAGTGTGAATGAATTCAACAAACATATAGGTGAGATGAGCTTACCATGGAGAGGTTTGCATAGAAAACTGACATGATCAAGGAAGAAACTACAGAGACAGTTGAACAAGTGGTCAGACCTCATTGTAATAAATAGGTCTTAACATTTTTATCTCAAATGTGTTTATCAGTGGTAAGCACTCCAACAACACATTCATGGTCAGATTCATATTCCACAGTAACAAATTGTAATCTGTAATTGCAAGATTTTTTCTGTTTCATGCAGGTGAATACAACCACAAAAAGAACTTTAACCTCTTTTCTATCCTTTTCATAAAAGTTCAATATGCTTTAATCAGATCGCAGCTGAACTTTGCATATACATCATCAAGCATTTTCAGATGTAACACAATTACAAGATGCTGGTCATTCCTTTCAACAAAAAAAAACAAAAAGGATGGCGTCAATCCTGAAAGAACTTTTAGTTAAGTAATGATGGACCTGTTGACAAGATATTGGGCATGAAAATCATCCTTGAAAAACTAAGAGGAATTTGATCATTGCCTTTCTCTTCTTAGATCTGAGTTTGAAACAAATTCATATGGTCAGTATTTCTGATGTCTATTGGTGTTACAGCTATAGAAGGACTCTTGGTAATCTAAACCCAGAGTCTGCAGGATATCCAAGATTTGGTAATTTCACCCAGAAGTCATAAGGTTGGCGGCTGGCTTGGAGGATGAACTATCACATTATTAAGCTAGGGGAAGAAATGCCCTTCCGAGGTTGGAGCGAAGACACTTTGTACAAGAATAAGAGCATTATCTCTGCAGCTGACTATCCATCTTTGATTTGGGAAACCAAAAGGAATGTATCAAAATTTGAATTTTTAAGTTCATGAATGTGAACAATTTTAAAAGGGAAATATTCAAGCTAGGCAAACTTGTTTCCCCCAACAGAAAATAAAAGTCATACTTGCATGAGCTCAATGTTACTTTAAAACTTTAGTCAAAAAAAAGTCCATTGTTCTAAGTCTAAAATTTTGTCTGTTGTACAGTTTTACCTTTATATTTATTCATTTGTTATTATATTAATGGTTCAGACATTAAGATTATGAAATAGAACTTAAATTAATGATGACATACAAGTCACTACCTAAGCAATAAAAACTTATTAGCTATCCAAATGCCATTTTGTTAAAACTCAATTGTTTACTTGAAGCACTATTTAGAATTTTAGTTGCCCCTCCAGTGTTACTGACATCTGTAGCTTGAAGTCCAGCTATTGTTGTTCACTAATATAATGCAAAAAATGAGAGAAACTTAATGATCTAAAATAAAAGCAACATGTGCATATCAGCATTTTATGATCAGAACTTATGGAAGAACAATACAACACTAAAATACTGAAAACCCTCAATCAAATCTCACTTTATTGTTAGCCAATTTATGTTCTGGTACAGAAGTCAAAATTCTTTTTTTAAAAAAAATCATTCCTGTTACCTCTCTTTTTTTAAAAAGCTGATTGAATAAATTAAAGAGAGATATTCTTATGCAAATAGTACCTAATTAACAAAGTGTACAGAAATTACATTGCACTCAGTTTCATGATTGGAACTATATAACCACCTGTGTGAATGCAAAGCAATCTCAGGGGCCTACCAATGTAAAAAGGACAGTATACCTCAGGAACAAAGAAACTAAGCACTACGACCCTTCTGCCAGAATTTAGTCTTCCACTGACTGCAGTACAACTCCACCTTCATGCAAAGGCACATTTAAATATGTCATATCTTATTATTAAATGTCTTGGGGAGATACCAATTTCATACTTTCACGTTTGGAGATAGCAGGTTTTCCTATTTATGGTTGAACATTAGAAATCAGCAGACAGGAAAGCTTTGCTCTATGCTTAGAGCTCCCCTGTAGCTGACCTCTGGCAAGACAGTCAGTACTATATTACTAATTAGCTGACTTCAGAGATACCATACTGAAACCTGCAGCTACAGCAGCATCTTATTATGCTCACTCAGGCATAGTGAATTGTTAATGAAGAGATCAACTTGAACTTGCATATTTGTAAAATACCCTGGATGCTTCCCCCAATTCACAACCCTTCCTAAACATCACAGTCAGAATAGCACAATTTCTTGAAGTAGAGTTCAGATTCTGGTTCGACTAACCATGTGGGAGCAGCTTCAAAATTGTATTTGCATTATTCTTTCCACGTACCATGATCCAGACAGAATAGCAGGAAACTGTGCAAGGCATTTGTCTGTTCAGCTTAAAACATATATTAATATAACACCATACAATTTTAACTTTTACCAAGTTACAGTGCAAACAAGTTAATTCTGGCACAATATGGCAACCCTCCAGAAAATATCCTGGTGCACAAGGTTCCATTTACGTGAAGTGCAACAAAATGCTGACTGAATAAAATGTTTTAACCAGAATTATAAAACGTTAAAACACCAGTGCATCTCCATTTCTGAACAAAGGCACAAGATGAAATCACGTATGTGCCATTTCAAGTTCCTCGAGCTGCCCTTTATGCAAACGATATCGGGCAAGATCTTTTCTGGTAACAATTCCAATTACCTACAAGAAAAATGATAAATTATTGGTATTAAATCATGGCTGTTCTACACTAAGTTTGATTTAATTAAAGTTAAAATAGCTGGATTTCTGTCACAAAGTTTATCTCAAGTCCTTCAATTAAATTCAATTAGATATTATAAGCAGCTTTTACAAAAGATATTTTACAAAATTGTTTAGCAAACTCCAGGTTCCTAAGGAATCATTACTTTCTTCCCTGATAATTGTAGTTCACACCCTAGACAAATCCACATGTGCTCCAATGCTCATCACTCTCATAAGCTTCAGGGCTGCTCGAGTTTAGGGCATTCTCCTATTTCCCAAAATCTAACGGCTACTTATAAAATTTAGAATGTGAGGTGTAATATTATTAACCAGCTTGTGACCAGAACTGCATATTAGTGTTTTTACCTATGTGATGCTTTAATATTTTAGATGCAAATTGAAAACATTTGGCGAAAAGGGCCTTAATGTGAATTGATAAGGTGCTTTATTTCTTGGCATTTCTGGGCAGGAGATGCAATGGGTTGTGGGACGGGTACAAGAGTCTGGTCTGATCACATTTGGAATACTGTGAGCAGTTTCTGGCCCATATTTAATGAAGGACGAGCTGGCCTTGGAGGAGGGTCCAGAGTAGGTTTACAACAGCTATGCCAGGAATGAAGGACTTGTCATATGAGGAGCATTTGAGGACTCTGGGTCTGTACTCAATAGAGTTCAGAAGGATGAGGGGAGCTCATTGAAACTTACTGAATACTGAGAGGCCTGGGCAGAGTTGACATGGAGATGTTGTCTTCAGTAGTAGAAGAGACTAGGACCTGAGGGCACAGCCTCAGAGTGAAGAGACAACCCTTTAGAACTGAGACGAGGAGGAATTTCTTCAGCCGGACATGGTGAATCTGTGGAATTCGTTGCTGCAAAAAGGCTGTGGAGGCCAAGTCATTGAGACAGATAAGTTCTTACTAGTAAAGGGATCAAATTTTACGGGGAGAAAGCAGGAGAAAGGGGGCTGAGAAACATATCAGCCATGATTAAACATTGGAGCAGACTCAATGGGCCAAATGGTCTGATACAGCTGCATCAGTCTTCTGGGTGGAGAGAGGAGATTTGAGAAAGAAGTTCATGACAAGTGGTCGTGACTTAAATTCCCCGCCTACAAGGGTAGCAGAAGTGGAAACATTAATTTCAAAAGGCAACTGGATAGGCACTCGGGAGAAACACTTTCTGGACTATGAAGATAAAGTTTGGAGATGGGGACGACTGGATCGCTCCAGAGAGATATGCTGAATGGTTTCCTTCTGTCCTGTTCAGTCTATTGGCTCTATGGCAAGAGAAGAGTTAGATCAAATTCTCTTCACTCAAATGGTAGTTTGCTTCCATAAATGATATAAAATATAGAACGTCTAACACTTTGACAAGCCGTGGGTCTTAAGAGTAGAAAATTCACTGCTTGACAAAGTATTACATATTCTATATTTTCTCACTTGGCTGAAATAAAACTCTCCTATACTCTTACATGTGCCTCCTCAGTCTACCAAATGACATGCTCACAGCTTTCCATTTATAATAGTTTATGCTTTCACAGCCTTATCTGCACTTTGCTACTTGCTTTCACTGTTTGTTTTCCCCCAAGTATCTCCTTCTGTTTAGAGCCATAAAACATAGTTCTGGCAAAGACCCATTGCAGATAGATTCCAAATAAAATAAGTGAGAGACAGGATAGCTAATTATTTATAAGCCAATCTTTGAAATCAACATGAATTCCAATATTAATTAATTTTAAGCTCAGTACTTTCTTCTTTAGTAAATTTATATTAAGCCATTTTGTTTAAAAATATTTAAATTCAATTTTTTTCACATATTTTCTGCAGAAGAATATTCAAAAATCCCTAAAACAGACACTTTCCATAATTTTTCTTTTAAATTACTCACCCCATTAGAGCCATCACATATCACGACATGCCTCAAGCCAAGAGCACGAAACAATCTAAAGACTCTAGGAAGAGATGCCTCCTTTAAAAAAAAGCAAATAATCGATTTGAAAATTTAAACAAAAAAAACTTGGACCTGCCTGCAGCTACTTATCCTAATTCAAAAATGATGGCAAGATTACTTGGCTCAAAGAACAGTGTACGGCAAATGGGTTCTGATTCTTCCGGAAGGGAAGTTATGCAAGGGACAACATCTGGGAAGATATGGTAAATCAAGGCGTAGAGCAAAGCAAGAAAGAAAAACATTAAAATGGGAAATGATAAACAGCCGATAGAAGAAAAGGATTGAGAGTACAAATTTGAATGTAAGTTAGCAGGTTTGGCAGCATCTGTGGAGAGAGAAACAGAGTTTGAGTCCAAAATCTCTAAGAGTTCTAAGAAAGAGTGTTTGAGCTCAAAGTGTTAATGATGTTTCTCCGCTGCCAGACATGTTGAGTTTCTCCAGCATTTTGTTTTTATGTCTGAAGTTGGTGTTTGACTCCTTCATGTATATTCAGTAGATATAACCTAATCAGCAGATCTACTTAACTATTATTTTGTCTATTTTTAGTACCACCGCCAGGATTCTTGCACTTTTTCTTTATTGTTTATCAGAGTGTTTTGTTTCTTTTAAAAAAAGGACATTTTCCTTCCATTATTTATTTTTCAACTATGGTCCTACACATACTCAAAATCCTTTAATGTTATAACCTAGTGTATTTTCATAAAGTATTTAATGTGAAAAGACTTCCAATTAATCTAAAAGTAACTGGCCTCTTTATTTAAGGAAGAATGTCAATGCACTTGGGGCTGTTCAGGGGAAGCTCACTAAATTGATACTTAGAATAAGTGACTTGTCTTTTGAGGACAGGTTGGACAGACTGGCCTGGTCTCGTTTCCAATGGAGTTTAGAAGAGGGAGAAGTAACTTGACTGAAGGTTATAAAATCCTGAAGGGTCTTGACAAAACAGATGTGGAATGAATGTTTTCTCTTGTGGCCCTGTTTTAAAATTAGAGGTAGCCCTTTTAGATCAGAGTTGAGGAAAAATTATTTCTCATGTAACTTTGGACCTTTGTCTCAGAAGGTGGAGGAGGCAGGATCACTAAATATTTAAAGCAGAGGTGGATTGATTTCCTTCCTTAACAAGGATCTTCCGTTATTGGGGATACATGGGAATGTGAAACACACAGACCCAGCCATCATTTTATTGAATGGTGGGGTAGTCTCAAGGGACTGAATGCTCTCCTACTCCTCCTTTTTCCATTCTGCTATGCTTGTATTTGCCATAACGCAAAAGCTGAATTTAATTTGCTCCATTACTCTCATTTGCCAAACATTGTATGTATGCCAACTTTAAAATAACATCAAAATTATTAAAACTATAAAAAAAATTGAACGTATACATTGACTGATCAACCAGACAACACTATTTCAAATCACTTTACCCCAGGGACACTATAAGGAGTTGGGTTCATGAATTCGGTCAAGTCCATTGTACAATTTCGCTCATCTTGTGATACATGAATAGACTGGATTGGTGGGAATCGCGGGTAAGCATCTCTGAAGTCTTTAAGTTGAAGTTTCTTCTGCGTGAGGTTTGAGCTTGCCCTTTCCACAAAAACCTGAAATAATAAAAACAATTTGAACAGAGAGAAAATTTGTTTTCAAAAATAAATGCTGAAACATTTGTGTCACCAATAATTTGCTCCCTTCAAAATTAAGAAAGGAATTGGAAGAAAATAATTTTATCTTAAAACTGGATGCCCAGAATTTCCCAAAACGTTTCAGTATAACTACTGTTGTTCTGATCATTTTTGTGCATAAATTGTTTGGGCTGGTTTATGCCAAAACATCATTATGCACAATTTTCTTCATTCATTCAGACGAAGTACATTTGAGTAACCGAGGTGTGTGTTAAACAAGTGATATCAATATGCATCTCTCTTGGATAAATGGCTGACATATGAAAAGAAATGCATTTAAACATTTCAATAAGCCTTTCAGATGTTCTATCTCAACTCTCTCATAGAACATACAGCAGAGAGAAACTAGTCCATGCTGAGCAAAAATTAATTAGCTGATCGGACTTGCATGAATTCTAACACACAGCATTGTAAGGGCCTTAATTTTAGTATTTTGATGGATTCAGGTGGCTGGCATTTGGCTTTTTTGTTCACCTCAAAATTTAAAATTCATTCTAAAATAAATAATTTGTTATAGTCTACGTGCATAGTGCACCGCATCATAAAAACAGCGGGAAAACTTTCATGGAAGTTGACAACAACTTCAGTCCTCCTGTTCAAATAAAAAAAAGATTATGCTTTCTTCAAAATCAGTTATCTAAGCATTGCACAATTAATACAATGCTGCATATTTAATTCAGAAATATACACTTTTGAAACACAAGTACATTGTACGACTTAAAACAAAATGCACCATACTCAACGATTTTCTCTTCAGCAATCTTGATAGATCTGTATATATCCAGCACTTCATTTTTATTTCAGGTTAGCAATATTTGTCTTTTCCTCTCTATTTGAAAGATTACCTTGTGTTTCAGAAGGACAATTAACTGTGATCGTAATATTAAGCCACATAGTCTTCCAACGTTATCACCATCAGGCTGAAAAATAAAAGGCATTTAATAATTATATAGTTATGACAGGAAACTATAATTACTGCATCACAAACAGAAATTATATACTCAACCAGATACTTTAGTTTGCTGTCCAATTTTGTTATGGCTTAAAAGAAGAAATTAGTCTAATAAAGTTTAATGAAAACAATGCCAAATTTAGTCTGGAATATTCTATTTTGGTAGAATGAACAAAGGTTCAGAAAATATAGTTGCAAAATTAGAAGTAAAACATAAAAGTATTAAGCTGCACTACAGCTGACTGTATATGGACAGAATTAAGTAAAATGAGAGAAAGTGGAGTAACAAAAGTAGTCAGTGAGTCAATCAGACCCTGGGGTGCAACACATTTTCCATTCCAAATTTTTCAATTCTCTGAATTGAATATCCAGATGCCCCGTGAACTGTAAACAAAGTTAACAGAATACCAAAAACCCCAAGTGATTCAGTAACATTTGCTACGTCAACAGATTGTACCCTGGAATAGTTGATCTTACTTTGATTCACGGGTAAGTGAAGTGAATTGTTATTTTTAACTAAGACACCAAACCAAATCAAATACCTTTTGCTCAGAGGAGGAAAGGGAAAAGGTCAAACAATTATACTAGTTACTCCATTCAGTATCCCTGAAATCTCTCTCAAAACATGCGTTTAGCTGAATGCTGTTCTTTTAACTAAGAATATTATAAAAGGTTTGGAGTACAAAGCAAAAAAGAGGAAGAAAGTGCAGTTGATTTTAAATATTTATGATGCGTTTAAAATAATTAATAAAGATGGATTATAGATAGCTTCCAGTCAATCACAGCTTAAAGGAGGACTCTTCTGGTGGCTCAAGCAGGTTAAATATTTTGCACTTTGGGTCAAAAGAGCAGAACAGAGTTCAGTTTGAGCTCTAGCTTTTGCTGAGACAAGTACACTCAACTAAACAACAATGAAGAACACAACTTGCCTCAGCAGCCATGGATGAAAGAGATGGGGGAAACAAAGCATAGACTTGTGTACCAATGTAGATGGATAATCTACAACACAATATCCAACTCAACTTTTGGTGTCCTCAAATCAAAAATGGCTTCCAATACTCATTTGCCAGTGCTTGCAAAGATATATGGATAAGGCACTCGGGATTAGGGGAAGCCACTTGATGCCTCAATCATACTTCAACTGGAAATAATTTCTACTGAGAAAGGGCAAGGGAAATGTAAGAAAACTGATGAAGAAACTTTGTGGAGTCACAGGAAAAAGAAACACAAAAATTTGACATCAGACGCTCCCATATCTCTCAAAACTGAAAGAGTTTCTGTTCCATTGTACTTAGGTTCTTCTTGTGTGCAAAAAAATAAAAACTATCATGCTAAACAGTGAGTAAAATGCAATCAATCATTGTGGAGATCACTGCATGTAAGGAACTGCATAAGCTCCAGGCAGGTCTGCGTGTTTTGAACAATTTCGTCAAACTAATCTCAATTTGACTGCACTGAGTTAATGGAACATGACAAAATAAAACCACTAGTTAAACATTTTAGAATTAATGGTCAACATCGTAAATTCTACTCTATGGATATTAACCACCCAAATCTCTAGTTAAAAACATACCTCATGATTCTCATCTACCACTGGAAATCCATTATGATTAGCTGATGTGTCACTCAGAATATCCACTATGCGTCCAACCTTCTCAAGTTTTTTGAAACAAGTTACTGGGTAACTCATTACTTCACTAAAATTGAAACAAAGTATTTGTTTTTAAAATATACTTTGACCATATTATCTTCATCTACACAACATGCCTTAATACATGCACAAAAATGCAACAAACTAATTTCTCTCCTGTGCTAGAGATCACAACTTTACAGTGCATAACAAAACTGAAATAAAGAAATAATTTGAATTCAAGTGAAAAATTGATATTCATAATTTTCTTAAAATGTGTTTAATTCGGGGCAAAAATAGTTCTCTGATAGAAACACAATCAAGAATGCAAACAGATAGTAAGAACTGCAGATGCTGGAGTCGGAGGTAACACAGTGTACACAGCAGGCCAGGCAGCATCAGAGGAGCAGGAAAGCTGATGTTTCGGGTTGGGACCCTTCTTCAATTTTCCTGCTCCTCTGATGCTGCCTGGCCTGCTGTGTTCCTCCAGCTCCACAAGAACGCAAAGCACTCTACTTACAATTCATGAAAAGTTTAAATGGAGTAAACAAAAGAAACTGAGCAAATCTAGAAGTCAGCTATTGCATTTTCTGCAGTATTTTGGCTCTAGCTAGTTATTTAGCTGGTTAAGCAGTTTTAATGCAAGTTTTAAGCAGCAGATTTACTGTTGAGGAGATGGTAGCCAACATACAATGATTTAAAATGATTGGCAAAAGAACTAGCCATGTCCTGACAAAAATAACTTGTTGACACAACATGGTTAGGATTTGGTATGTACTGCACAATTGATTCGATAGCAGCCTTCAAAAAGAGAGTTGGATATGTACATGGAGGAAATAATTGCAGGAATATCAGGATAGAACATAGGAGTGTGACGAGTTAGATAACTTTACCAAAAAGCGAAGACGACGTCATGGGCCAAATAGCCTCCTTTGGGCTTCACTACTCTTTGCTATTCAGAGAGATTCAGGAATACAATTTCTTTATTTGTGTGCTTTCAACTAGGCCAGCATTGTATGTGTTGTGTGTTATGCGACCGATGAAACTAAATTCCACGTCAGGTACATGAGATTTCAGATTTTTATTGACGTTTTGAGAAATTGTACCTTATGGTCAGATTTTTCCATAAAATCCAAACCAAGTGGCCTTGGTAATAATTCTTCTCTATGTGCACCATAGCTTTAATGTAAAGGATACAGCAATCAGTTTTGCTCCAAAACAGATTTATAGTCACCCTTTCCTCATTAGCAAGGATGGAATTGTAACAAAAATTGAACAGCATTTCAGATTTAATCTTATCTACTGGGATTAATTTAAGTATTGTGTATAATAAGCACAGAGCAGTACTCTAACTCTGGCAGACATATTACAACCGAGACAAACATTGTAACTCATCCATGCTGCTCTTCTAAGTAATAATGAACTGCAGCCATATTATGCACTGAAATCATGCTGCTCCTTCACTTCGTGCATTGAGTTAGCCAAGAGATTTTCTAAAGCATTTTGTATCTTAACAAGCATGTTATTTAGTTGAAGCAGTTTTAATGGAATTCATAAGCAAAAAATTTACTGCTGAATTTCCTAGGTTTTCCCTATAAGAAGTGGATATGTGATTGTTTGGTAACAGAGAACACGAGTATCACTGAAGAAAAAAAAATGTGAAAGCTTTTGCCTTGTACTCATCAGGGCAAACTGCAAGAAATAAAAACGTAAAAGGAAAAATCATTTATCCTGTATAAGGGGAGTATTGATTGTTTGGCAAGTGGAGTCTGTTAAGAGGGACTTTTGCAATAGAGAATGAACCTGTTAGAGATGATTGACAGTTAATGGTCAAGCTTTATTTACTCTATAAACAAGGCAGGTTAGAATCTGATTGGTCAGGGTTGAATTTTTGTTCAGATACCCAGATGTTATCCAACCAAGATATGTGTGATATAGGGATGGTATTTCCATTGTGTTGTAAAATGCAAAATACAATTTTCATAAACATCAAATAGATTTAGATGCTTATTTAATGTGAAAGATAAAATGCGTTCAGTTTTGTAACCCTAAATTGGGATACAATAACAATCTTAACAGCAAAACAAAATGTGCCAAGTAATAAAACTTTGAAAAGCTCTATAATAAGTTATACTGTAGATTCGTGAAATCAAATCATGCATCCAAATAGTTACCTAAGTATTATTACATTTGATGATATTGCATCATATCCCAGCCAGCCAAAAGCCAAGTATATTCTTCCACAAACCCTCTTACTCACCCCACATCCACAGAAAGTACGTGCCTACAAATCAGATACTTATAATGACACAGAAAAAAACTAATGTGCAAAACACAATGTGCGCAAACAAAATGGGAGCTTGGATTTGTGAATAATTATTAAATTTGCAAAATCTGTTTGATTTGAGATTTAAATTAAATTTTATTTTGCCAACATATTTTCAAATTCAGAGTAGGAATGAATATGGAACAAAACCAGATTTGCAGCAGCTGTACTTCAGGGTCAGGACAGAGTCATATTAACAGAACTCAGCTTGACCACATGGTAGATTCTTGACATGACAAAACCATTAACAACAAAACAAAGAGCATGCCTGCCTTTTTATTTAAAAATTGCATTTTCAAAAACTACATCACAATTAGTTGCTCCTGTCATTTCAATAGCAGGAATTTGGAAAAAATGTTCTTCTGAATATAGGAATTTCATGTTACCCCACCAATGTGATGTAATCCAAAACTGGCAAGAGGAAGTAGGTTTGAAATGAAGAGCAGCGGGGGGTTGTCATTATAAAACCATAATCAATTGGCATGTCTCTTAATTTACAACACAGGAGAAATATCAACTATACTGAACATAATTACAGTTCTTACCGTGCAGTTAAAGCATGAGATTTTTCAGGAGGTTCCCAGCCAAGGAATGGTACACTTTGCAGCTTAATATGAATGTCATACAGTCCCTAAAAGCAAAAACAATTTCCTATTAAAATTTAAGACTTTTGTACTCCTATATTCTGCTTCATATTGATCTAGCACAAATTTAGATTAATCAATAATGACTGAATATGTTACTAAAGGATATTGATCATTGCACCCCTCCACAGTTGACCACAGACCCCAACACATACTTCAAAAAGGTAATCTTTTGCAACCTTTAATCCCCAAGGCATTGAAGAGAATGGGCAAATGTGACTTTTGTTTGTTCAGTCTTCCATTATTTTACTACTTTAGTGCATCTTCAGCAAAGACCTTAGTAACAGGGAATGAGTTCTTCAAATGTGTGTCTTAAAGTATAAAAAATGAAAAATCTTTATTTAAACAGCAGTAAACCCAACGTCAATGGATTCAACAATAAATCAGCAACCAAGTTTCCAAAAAAAAAAGCAGAGAAGAGAAACTACTGACTAAATTTAATAGAAACTTAAAAAAAATAGTCAACGGCTATTTGGCCCTTTGAGCCTACTCCACCATTTAACATGATCATGGCTGATCATTCAACTCAGTAACTTGTTTCCGATTTTTCTCCATATCCTTTTAGCCTTTGAGCCCCTAGAACACTAACTCGTTCTTGAAAATATTCAATAGTTTGACCACAGCCACTTTCCATTGCATTTCAAAGTTCAATCATTCCCACAAGCAGCAACAATGTACAACTTAACTAATTATAAAAGTTAAATGGAAAATCATGGTGCAATAATTAGGAAACTGAAGCAAGCTTATAATTCTAAGCCTTCTGATACTTGCTTAACACAAAAATTATTGTGTTTATTTAAGGATCCCAAAGTCTCTGACCTGAATTAAAAGTTTATAGACTTCAGACCATTCATATGTACTTACCTGAATGGCTACCCAAGAAAAGTTAGACAAGAAAGTTCCAATCTAACACTGGGCATTGGGACTCCCCAAAGTCTGACAAATGAAAGTCAGTCTTTTTTCTATGTGTTCTTTTGAAACAATTGAACAAAAAGCTCCATGAAGAAATGCTTTAAAAACAAAGTCAGAAGTGACACAACACCAGGTTACAGTCCAAAAAGTTTACTTGAAATCACAAGCTTTCGGAACACTGATGAAGGAGCAGCGCTACAAAAACTTCTAATTTCACATAAACTTGTTGGACTATAACCTGGTTATGTCATTTCTGATTTTGTGCAGCCCATCCAACACCGGCACCTCCACATCACGTCTTTAAAAACAGGCACAGAATGATTTTACGATCCTGTTGTTTTTCAGTTGGTGACTCTCGCAAGTGGTCTCGGAGTCTTAAGGTTTGGAGTATGCCTGTGCAACCCACTATCCAACTAGGAGAGTTTTGCCAATGGTGGCAACAAAATTCCTTGTGAACTGAAGGATGTAATTTTACTTTAACCAAATTACTTATTGGAATGCAAATGAAAAACCATTTGACAGGTCACTGGAAATATTTTTGCCTTACTTACTCTCCCAAAAGATAATCAGGTCAGAAATGCAGATACTCTCTGATGATTGCAGTGCTTGGGGCTGTTGTGGTGCAGTGGTAGTGTCCCCATCTCTAGACCATGAAGCCTGGAGCATCTGCTCCAGAGATCTGTAATCATGTCTCTGAACAGGTTGATTAAAAATATCTGCTGAGTGTTCTGCACCATTTACAATCTCTCTGTGCTAAAGGCCTGGACTGATAATTAGCAAGTAACATCTGTGCCACACATCTCCAACAAGAGCGGGTATTACCATCTCTCTTGATGTTCAATGACTTTGGTCTCACCTTTGCTGAATCCCTAACTAACATCATCCTGGCAATTATCATTGACCAGCAATTAAAATTGGACCAGACATATAAATACTGTGGCTTGAAAAACAGTTAAATGGCTGGAGATGCTGCAGCTCCCAACTCCGAAAGACCATTTACTATGTACCAGGTGCAAGTCAGGAGCGTAATGGATGCTCTCCACTAGCTGGGATGAATGCAATCCAACAAACATTCAAGGAGCTTGACAGTATCCAAGACACAGCAGGTTGCTTGTTCTGCACCCCACCTTAAGCATTCAGTCTGACCCAATGGACAATAGTAGCAGTGGGTATCATCAACCAAGATGCATTGTCAAGGCTCCTTCGACAGTACCTTACAAACTTGTGATGTCTTTCGCTTGGTAGATCAAGGGCAGCAGACACATGGAAAAACTAACATCTGCAAGATCATCCACAATCACCATCCTGGCATCATCTCTGGGTCAAGATCCTGGAATTTCTTCCCAAACAGTATTATGGTTGCACCTAGACCACATTCTCAGCTCAACGGCAATTAGGGTTGGGCAATAAATGCTCACCTTATCAGGGATTGCTCACATCCCAACAAATAAAAGAACTTTTATCAAATCTCCTTAACCTTCTGTGTTTGAAGGAGTTCATTTCCAGTTTCCTCATGTAACTGAATATACTTGGTACTATTCCGGTAAATCTCTTCTGCAATCTAAGTGTGTATTTTTGTTCTTTTAAATGCCTTCTGTAGAAAATTTGTTCAAAATCCTTACAATATTTATAGCAATCTTCAGGTATTGAATGATAGTCATTTATCATACTGGTTTACAGTCATAGAGCTGTATAACATGGAAGCTGACCCTTAAGTCCAACTTATCCGTGCTGACCAGATATCCCAAGTAATCTAGTTCCATTTGCCAGCATTTTGCCCATATCCCTCTAAACCTTTCCTATTCATGTACCCATCTAGATGCCTTTTAAATGTTGTAATTGTACCAGTCGTCACCATGTTCTCTGGCAGCTCATTCCATATATACGTCACCCTCTGCATGAAAAAGTTGCCCCTTAGGTGCCTTTTAAATATTTCCCTGTTCACCTTAAACCTATGTCTTCTCATTTTGGACTCCCCCACCCTGGGGAAAAGACCTTATCTATTTACCGTATCCACACCCCTCATGATTTTATATACCTCTGTAAGGTCACCCCTCAGCCTCAACACTCCAGGGAAAATATTGCCAGCCTATTCAGCCTCTCCTTCAAACCCTTCAACCCAGGTAATATCCTCGTAAATCTTTTCTGAACCCTTTCAAGTTTCACAACTTCCTTCCTATAGCAGGGAGACCAAAATTGCTCGCAGTATTCCAAAGGTGGCCCAACCAATTTCCTACACAGCTGCAACATAACCTCCCAAATCCTATACTCACTGTATTGACCAATAAAGGCAAGCATACCAAACGCCTTCTTCACAATCCTATCTACCTGCGACTCCATTTTCAAGTGAATGAACTTTAACCTGCGCTCCAAGGTCTCTCTGTTCAGCAACTGTCCCCAGGACCTTACCATTAAGGTGTATAAGTCCTGCCAGGATTTGCCTTTCCAAAATGCAGCACCTCACATTTTTCTCAAACACTGTCTGCCACCTTTCAGCCCACTGGCCCATCTGATCAAGATCCCGTTTGTATTAGGAGGTAACCTTCTTCGCCGTCCACTATACCTCCAATTTTGGTATCAACTGCAAACTTAGTAAACGTACCTCCTACGTTCACGTCCAAATGTGGAAAAGCAGTGGACCCAGCACCGATCCTTATGGCACACCACTGGTCACAAGCATCCCTCCACCACTGCCACCCTCTGTCTTCTACCTTCAAATCAGTTCTGTATCCAAATGAACATAGAACAGAGAACAGTACAGCACAGTACAGGCCCTTAGGCCCACGATGTCATGCTGAACTTTTACCCTAATGCTAAGGTCTATCTAACCTCCACCGCTACCTTATACTATCATCCGTATGCCTATCTAATAGTCGCTTAAATGCCCCTAATGAGGCCGATTCCACTACCCTCTCCGGCAATGCATTCCATGCCCCTACCACTCTCTGAGTAAAGAACCTACCTCTGACGTCTCCCCGATATCTACCTCCTTTCACTTTAAAACTGTCCCCTCGTAATAGCTACCTCCACCCTAGGAAAAAGTCTCTGGGTGTCTACTCTATCTATATCTCTGATCATGGCTAGAGTTCTCCCCATATTCCATTTGATCTAACCTTGCTAACCAATCTGTCATGAGGAAACTTGTCAAAAGCATGACTGAAGTCCATATAGATCACATCCACTGCTCTGCCCTCATCCATCCGGTTACTTCTTCAAAAAAAACTCAAGATAGTGAGACATGATTTCCCATGCACAAAGCCATATCGACTATCCCTAATCAGTCCTTACGTTTCCAAATACATGTGAATCCTGTCCCTCAGGATTCCTTCCAACAAACTGCCCACCATCCAGGCCAGGCTTACCCGTTTATACTTCCGTGGCTTTTCCATACCATTTTTCTTAAATAGTGGCACCACATTAGCCAATCTGTCTTCCAGCACCTCACCTGTGGCTATCAATGATACAACTATCTCAGCAAGGGCCACAGCAATCACTTCCCTAGCTTCCCACAGAGTTCTAGGGCACACGTGATCAGGTCCTGGGAACTTATCCACCTTTGTGTTCCAAGCCGTCCAGCACCTCTCTTTATACAATGAAAATTAATAATAAATGGTTAGCTAGTATGGACTTGTCAAGCTAGCTTTAGCAGTCAGATGGATCGAATTAGTTAGCTAACACATCTTGCTAAATTTAAGTAAAAATGCTACTTGTAAAATATCTACTAGGTTTTTTTTAGTATTTAGTAATCATTCTTGATTCACAAATAAAACTTCCATCAACAGAAGTTGCTGGAAAAGCTCAGCAGGTCTGGCAGTATCTGTGAAGAGAAATCAGTGTTATCGTTTTGGGTCCCGTGACCCTTCCTCAGAACCCAGTAGTCGTCACAGGACCCGAAATGATAACTCTGATTTCTCTTCACAGATGCTGCCAGACCTGCTGAGCTTTTCCAGCAACTTCTGTTTTTGTTTCTGATTTAGAGCATCCGCAATTCTTCTGGTTTTTACAATTGCAATCATGTTTTGTTGTACCCATGTATAAATGAAGATGACCTTAGGGGTTTATAAAATCATTAGGGGTACAGACAGGGTTAATGGTTGGTGTCTTTTCCCTAGATTGGGGGATTTCAAGACTGGGGGGGCATATGTTTAGGGTGAGAAGAGAGAGATTAAAAAAAAAGACGAGGAGCAACTTTTTTATTTTTTACACAGAGTACGATTCGCATGTGGATTCAACTTCTTGAGGAAGTGGTGGATGTGAGCACAATTGCAAGTTTTAAAAGATACTTAGGTAAGTGCATGAATAGGAAAGGTTTGGAGGGATATGGGTCAGAAGCAGGCAGGTGTGACTAGTTTAGTTTGGGATTATATTTGGCGCGGACCGGTTGGACTGAAGGGTCTGTTGCCATGCTGTATGACTTTAAAAAAATCCAACCACTGACCAAGACATTGCCAAATGTGTTGTTATAATGATAAAAAGTGTACAGCAAGCTGAGCTAAGCTGCTGTGATTTATCAAGCACTTAAAGACTAAGCTGTGAATCCTGTTAACAGAGAGACATTCTTGTTCTCAAAACAGACACCAATTTAAGATAGGTATGGCATTTCCGAATGTGGTATTGATTTACATGCACTTGTAATACTGGGATCAGTACTGAATCCAAACTAATCCCCAAGTACAATTCAACACTTGACATATTTAGTCAATAAAGGATTGATTGCTCTCAGATTATATTGCAAAACAGAAACTCTTTTCCATTGGGAGATAGTAAGAACTGCATTTGCTGGAGTCAGAGATAACACAGTGTGGAGCTGGAGGAATATACTTTTCCATTGGTTTGTGTTTATTGTGTTTATAGTTTAAAATAAATCACATCAATTTTTAAATGTTCATATCCCAATCTTTAAACGGTAAACATTCCTTTGAAGCAGTATAAATAAAAAGTTCTCTTATTTGTGGTCATATATACTGCATCACTATTTATTCAACCGGGAAAAGTCAAGACCAGTTCTAATTTAGTCAGATTTTGAAGACATGGATTATATTTCACTCAATTGCCTCTACAAGGAGAATTGTTTTGCTCGTAAGGATAAAAAAAGTAACAACGGAATAATTGAAGGCTTAAACCAGGTGATCTGAGAAGAGCAAATTTTTCAAAGTTGCAAAGCTGGAATGATACAAATATGGTCAAACAGGATACCATGGTTGAAAACAGACTGGTTTAGTCCCAGATTGTAGAATCATACAGTGCAAAAGAGGCTCTTTGGCCCAACAAGCTTTCACTGACAAAACAATACTCTAGATCTACACTGGTCCCACTTTCCAGCACTTGGTTTCATAGCCTTGAAAGTTATGACATTGAGTACTCATCCAAGTACGTTTTAACAGTGAAGATTTTGCATCAACAACCCTCCCAGACAATGCATTCAAGAACCCCACCACCGTCCAGGCAAAGAAAGATTTCCTCAAATCTAAACCTTGCAGCCTTTCATCTGAAATTACAGCCCCTTGCTACTGATCCTTCAACAAAGGGGAACAGCTGCTTCCCATCCATCTTGTCCATGCTCCTCAAACTTATATACTTCAATCAAATCCCCTTTAGGCTCTCTTCTCAAAAGAAAACAAGCCAAGTTCATCCAGTCTCTTTTCATGGCTAAACTACTCCATCTTAGGCAACATCCTGGTGAATCTCTTCTGCATTCTCTCCAATAAAATCACATCCTTCCATGACCAGAAATACATATAGTACTCCAGCTGTGACTTAACTGTAGGCAGGAAAAGAAATGGTGTTAGCAGATCCTAGCTGTCAGAGCATGAGACAACTTATCTATCTATCTGGTTTCCTTAAGTCCCTGAATTCACATTTCAGAGAAAATGGGAAACGCAACAAACTATGCTAACAATTAGAACAGTGATATAATGCCTTTAACATAATAAAATATCCCAAGATCTCAATAGGACCATCACAAAACAAATAATGATACTGAGACACAGATAAGATATTTAGCCAGATGACTAAAAGCTTGGCCAAACAGCCATACTAAAGAAAGAAAATGAAGTAGAGCTAGGAAGAGGTATGGAAGAAATTTACTAACAAAGATGACAATTTTAAAATCAAATGTTGCTTGATTAACAGCCATGTATAGGGATGATAGTGGAGCAGGACTTGTTCAAAGCAGAGTTACTAATTAATTTTCTTCCCACAAAGCTCATTTTTCTACGCAAACCCAAAGATCAATTTAAGGGTTTTATGAAAATAATTGAAATAAATGAACAGGTACCTCAATACAGAAGTCCCCAACTATTTTGGCAGTCATCAGCACCACCATGACGGGAAGACCATATGTCACATTTCCAGTTGCCTCCACAATTATAACCGTCAGGCTCAGTGTCATTCGTACAATACCTCCTACCAATGAAAAAAGTGATAAAAGGGACAGACCATAAACTCAATTACATATGATAAAGTGACAGTCAATAAGCATATGCATACATAAAAGTATTCTTACTTGCTTCTAATTCTCTCATGAGGTCAATGTGATACTGTAAATTTAGATTTTTCAAAAACATAGTAGTAACACATTTTGTGATATCACAATATCATAAGACCCAAGTTGAGCATAATGAAAGAAACCTCTTCAGAGTTAAAGAAGTTTAACTGTTAATAATTTCCTTTCTCCCCTTTCATAATTAATCAGTGTTTAGGTTCCACAATGCTAGGTCTTTCTATACTAACAATGTTTGCTTTATCAAGTGCAACTATAGTAATTGACAACTATTGTTACTCAGAAACAAGATACATATAAAAAAATGACAGCTGGGAAATGACCTCAATTTTACTGAAGGCCAAAGCTTTATAATTGGGTACCACCCCAATAAAGTGCACATAATGAGCACTGACTTCACCATAATTTCAGTGTCATTATCTGCAAAATGCAGGCATCAGGGTGCTTCTGAACGGAAGCTTACTGATTAGGGGGAACTAGTAGTATACTGCTGTTAAACTTAAAGGCCATCAACTCAAACTGGCATATATTTCAGCCACAAGAAAAGTTGATTTTAAGAAAAAAAGTTACACAATACAGGACCAAAGAATTTCTAGATTCTTCGATATACTTGTAAAAATACCCTGGAGAAAGTCAAACAAACATTTATACACGAATCACGGAAGTCAGTGATAAGGGTTAGTGAATAAAAAAAAAATTAAAAGCAAATCAAATCAAACACTGGGGCTGTTTTTGAGAAGGATGGAATTGAAAAGCTGGGAATTAATGTTAAACAAGTGTAGAATCTTTATTAAATCACATGGAGTGTAGTGAACTGTTCTGGTCCCCACATTATAATAAGTTGAGAGAGAATGGAGAATGTGCGAAAAAAAACCGCTGGAATGAACAGGAACTGACAGCTTATAACCATCATGAAATTCAAACAAGGTGCACCTCTTCTCTGGAGATAATCAAGTTGCCTCTCAGTATTTTAAGAAAGAGATTGATTGCTGATGACTGTGCTCTCCTAACCTACAGTCAGTCAGACCTGCAATATGTAACAAAATGTTTTTTTCCTGAGGTGGCATAGCACTGCACACTAAAAATCAGTTCATGGAAAAAAGAAGTCCTGTATCAGCCTGCACTCCAAGGAGAAGAAAGCGTTAGCATCAAGGGAACCAAAGTGAATGCCATCAAGCAAATCTCTCTATTTAGGGAGCATCATCTCATTATCAATGTCACTGTAGACAAACAAATAGGCATAGCTTTTAAGGAAACGGCACTTTTGACAAACTCTACAAATGAATGTGGAACAACCAGTCTTAGAGGACAGGTGAACTCCAAGTATACAAGGCGATAGATCTCGCCACCCTTCTTTGTGGCATTGAATCATGGGTCCTGTACCAACACGTACATCTTCAAGAGCACTTCTACTAGTGCTGCCTCCACAGCATCCTCAGGAACCATTGTCTGGAATGCATCATTGAAGTATTGCAAAATGTAACTATTTGAATCAGCCAATATCTCCAGCATCGGGGCCATTCTCCTGCAAAGCCTATTACTTTGGGTGGGTGATGTTTCAGGATGTCCCCTGTCTAAGGTTATATTGTACAGAGAGCTGACGACTGGTAAATGTAAGAGAGTGGCTTCACGCAAACATTTCAAGAACTCCATTAAGTTGTGTCTATGCACTACATCAGTTATTGCCAGTGGGAAGTGCAGACTATAAACAATGATGCTTGGAGATGCTACATCAGGAGTGCTACTGTGATCTTTAAGGCTCACTGAAGAGCCAGTATAATAGAAAAATAGATAGATCCAATTGTCCCCAACAGCAATTACACCTTCAATTATACCCACTGTCGAAAATATGCTGATCATGGCTGGAGTGGATGAGACATCAGCAACCAGTGAGTACAATCTTTGTTCATGAAAAAAATGAAGTGAGGGGGGCTAGGGTAGTCATTGAACAAATATTTTCACTGTGGACAAAGCCAGAATTCAGAACTACAAATACAAGATTGTCACAACTAAACTCGGTCGGGAATTTATGGAAAATATATTTAAGAGGAAGCAGTTAGAATGTGGAACTCAATACCACAAGAAAGAACTGAGGAAAAGACAAAGAAGCAGTTGACGTGGAAGCTGGACAAACCTGAGGGAGAGAAACATAGAAGGCTATGTGAATTGGATTACATGTTACTGGGTGGGAGGAGCTTGTACATAAATAGGATCAAGAGTAGGCCATTCAATAAAAATCATGATTGATCTGAATGTAGCCTCAACTCCACTTTCCTGCCTAACCCCCTTCCATTACCCTCTATTCCCTTATTAGGTGAATAAACACTCATGAACCTCTCTCTTCAGATCACCAGCATCCAGTTATATTACCAGTACGAACCTATTGGGCTAACTGTTTTTTTTGTATTACATTAGGTAAATATTATTTAACTAAAGTTGAATCATTTGCTAAATTTAACAGTGAAAACGTTTTATTCAAAGATAAGTAGGCAACAAAAGCATTAAAATCAGTTCCTCCATCTCACTTAAGCAATAGGCTTACTTTATAGCAGCAGATTTTACAAAGCATTGCAGTTTAAAGAAAAATTCTCCACAGTTAATTTGTTGCCAATATTCCTACACATCACAGCGAAGAGTTTTTTTTTGAAGGCTGCAGGGCTGTTTTAAAAATTACTTTTCTGCTATGGAAATAAAACAGGAAATTATCTAACATCCTGAGACAGATAGTCTGGAAATCTTAACTTTCCAGTGCGTAGGTCACTGGTCATGTAACACACTTACCGAGCTGTGCAGCTGCTCCCATTAGAGCATATTTCCCTGGGTCAGCCCAAGTCTGTTGAGCGCAACAGAGAGTAAACCAATTAAATGAAGGACAAAAAGCCAAACAGAATTTTATAAACGTGAACTGTAGCTAGCTGTAATAATGATATTTAATGTTATAAATTGAAAACATCAGTAAGTACAAGCAAAAAGTCAAAAAGGAAATACTGCATTTCAAAGATTCTCATTTTCTCTCTGTTCCACTCCGAAAATGTTTGCTGGTTTAAGACTCTACAGGTATCCATCCATATTTTGCCTGGGTGGACATTTTTCAAAACTGAAGGCAAACTATTTAACAATAGTGCATATCATTACATGATGTGGCAAAGGAGTAACTCTTTGCTCAGCTGAATTCCCACACAGCTGAAGTATACCATTGTGAAGTATTCCCAACTTAATCTGTCCACATCTGCTGTTAATTAAAGCACCCTACCACTAAAATTGGTTAACTCAACAATATCAACGAGTGAATGAATCTGGGAATTCCAAAGGCTCATTGGACTCTTATGTTTTTTTCATTTAGGAAGTAGCAACAATGATACCTAGTATCAACTAAGACAATAAAAAAGCAGCCTGTATTCAATATATTAAAAAAAAAATCACTAAGAAAATTGATTTCCTCAAGGCTAGCCAAAACAGATTCCTCCAAAATACTTTAAGGTCATCATCTTCCTTTTACTTGATGATTGTCCAGTTACAATAAACAAGTTAACTTTCCAGTAGTCTTTGTAATCCTTCCCTACGGCAAAATAACTTGACTTTTCCCTTTCACCCAAAGACCAGCTTTACATTAAGTAACATGAATATATTTTTCTCAAAGATAAGGGTTCACTAGATCTTTGCACAAACTATTACCAACAAAGAATGGTGATAGTACATATTGAAGTTGCGTCAGATGTGGTTGGTTAGACTCATTTTTCAAACTGTGTCCACTCTTGATTTGTTGACCAGTGAAAATCTTTCAAAATAGACTCAGGGTAGCGCCAAAATACAAGAATAAATATAACATACAAATCTATAGTAAACCACAGGCATTTCAGAAACCTGCTCACCACGTCAGGTTTTTACATAATACAAGTTCTGAGAACCATCATCTTCCCACAGGAGAACCTCATATTTCACATACACCGCAGCGAATCCTTAAGTCCCAATTACCTCCTGAAAGTAGCAGGAATCTTTATCACTACTTGGCTTGCAGGAACATATCACATGGAATTATGGATTTGCTTCATCTTCAGTTGGTATAAAATAGGTTTATCTAAGCTGTAAACACTGAAATAGGTACATGAAGGGTCCTGAACAAACTGCACTATTCTCAGCACGAAAACAGGTTTGGTTTTCAATATACAATAAACCCCTGCAAAACAGCTGTTCAATTGTAATTCTGCACACTGTGACCAAGAGAGAAACTAATAAATAATCAAATCATATGTCACAATAAGAATAATACCACTGCAGTACTAAGTGGGATTAGTGGCACTATAATATTAACATATGATAGATATTAATATAAATGCTTTATTCTGCTCTGGACATCAGTAACCATTGATCAGAAACTGAACTGGAGTAACCATATAAGTAGTATGGCATCACAGTGGAGAGTGTCCCTACGTCTGGGCTAGAAGATTCAGATTCAAGTTCCATCCTAGATGCGTGACATGACATGTCTGAGCAGGTCAGATGAATTACCTATAAATATAGTGGCAACAAGGGGCTAAGAATCCTGCAATGACTAACTTACCTCCTGGCTCAGCAGAGAGGTTTTGCTATCTACAAAGCAGAAATCAGGAGTGAGATGAAATAATCCCCACTTGCTGGATCAGTGTAGCTCTAACAGCACTCAAGAAGCTTAACACCATTAACAACAAAGCAGTCCGCTTGATTGACAGCATATCCACATACACGTCCAGAGACTTCGCAATAGCAGAAGTTCATGAAAATCACCTGCAAACTGTGCTTGGCCCTTTTAAGTAAAGAGAGTACAGGATCTCTCTTACAGCTGAACGTTACCTCTTAAGTGACTGGCAAGAGAATACATTTAACCTGGAACACGCAGGTTCATTTAAGACAAAGCATCATATCAGCCAGAAGGCTGTTCAAATTCACCCTCATCAAAACTGGGTATACCATTCAACTAGACCTTGGCTGATCTTCAATGTCGATACTAATTTTCTATACTCTCCTTATATCTCTAAGATCGTGAAACTCGTTGACCCCTGTTTTGAAAATACTTAAAGATTCAGCTTCCACAACCTTCTGGAAAAGTGATTTACAAAGGCAACCACCTACTGGGTAAAGAAATTCCTCATCAGTCCTAAGTGGCCTAAACCCTATTCTGAGGCCATGTCTCCTGTTTCTAAACTACCCCAGCCAAATGAGACATTGTTCCTGCATCTGTCTAAAGAACTCCTTAAGAATTTGTTCCACACTTATACCCCCGAGATGAAGTCCTGCAATAAAACAAATAACCTGGATTTTCTCATTTTAAATTTTAAATTCATGAACTTGGAACCATTATGCCACCACTGGCCAGGAGTCCCAAGTCAGCTTCTTTCATCCTCTAACTTAATCTGCAGAGTTTCTCCTGCTGCCAGGAATCTCTCTAGTGTTTAAGTAGATCTCGCCACTCTGGATTCCACCACAATGGGTTGAATTAAATCCAGCCCAATATGTTTAGCCCTAACAAAGTCATGATCGAATCATAGCCAACAGCAAGAAGTGTCTTTCAACAAATACCTAGAATACAAATTCTTGAAATAAGCATTTATGGAATCAAGTATTAAATTTTTAAGTTAAATATACACTAACAAATTCAAAACTCATCTTTTAAAATTTAAACTCCTCTTCCAAAAAAAAAAAAATCCAAAATCTCCATGCAGTACACTAGCTATAGCTCAAGGTTATAAAAGAAAAAACTCACAGAGACTGCTGAAACATTGGAAAGAAATATTCCAAACAATCTCCCCCACGCAGCACCAATCAGTAAAGATGGAATGAAAATTCCACTGGACACTGCTAAACCATACGTCCAACAGGCAAGGAAAAAGTAACTTAAAGTGAACAAGCCCAGAGTCAGAGGATTGTATGAACCTGTAAAAACAAATCGTAGTGATCAGTAAATACTGTTCTTCAATATCAATAAATTACATTTTCTTTCATAGTATTCAGTTTTGCTTTTAATTTTAAAAGTACCCTTGCCTCTTTGATATTCAAAGGAATTTCCCCTCACTCACAAAAACGGATATAAGAAATAATTTTATGAACACTTATTGAAAATATAGTGAACAAAATCATAGCATCTACAAAACAACCATCTAATAACATTTTGAGGGATAAATTAGGAAAAGGAGCAATTGCAATGATCCCAAGATGAGAAAGCTAATGTCTTATGACCCAATATATTTGGGATGGCGGTGGGTGGTGTAAAAAGAGAGAGAGGGTAACCAAGCCAACGAAAACACTAAAGGAAGAAAATGGGTAGTTGCAAGTCTATGTGCTGTTCCATAACTAAGCTGGTTACCCAGTGGTAACATCTTCTAAATATAATTATGCCAAGAATTTGTTTTTTGAGAAGTTGAAGTTCACTCCCTGCATCTTTTCAGCCACCTAGTCACTTTTTTATATTAAAGGCTCATTATGAATATTAACTGCATTGTAGGTTAGTATCAAAGTCCAAGATGGACATTTTTAAAAACTACTGTACTTCATAATCATGAAAACAAATTTAATGTAACAAATTTGTGTGGCTGTAGTAGTTTCAGACATGCAGTATTGTCTAAATGTGATTCATAGATACATGTATTCATTATTCATGTCTGAACCTTTACCATATAGAAGAGCTCCAATTAGATTGATATTTCTCATCAACCTATTCAGAGATGATATTACACGTGCCAACCAAGTGGGACTTGAATCCAGGCCTCCTGGTCCAGAGGTAGGGAAAAAAAAACTATAACAGAAGCATGTGGAAAATATCATGCGAGGACAAACTCAGGACAGCATTATAAAGGCAGTTAATGCCCATTTTTATATGGTTTAGCACATGAAGATGGCCAACTGTTGTGACCAAGTGTGCTCCTCCCATTTTTCTCTAGTCCCACTACTCCATGGGTCACAACATTAAATTGCAAACCAGGATTCTCAATAAGGCTAACTGTACCTTGGCGGATGCAGTCACTCGGGAAATGACAAACTCTTGGAGGCTTCTTATTTGAAATCAGCTGGATCAGGGATCCAGGTACCATACTAGACCAGCAAGTGTTCTTTTCCAGAACAGGAGAGCTGAGCTGGGAAGTTTCTTTCTTTCAGCAGGCTTCTCCTTAACCATTCGTAACAATACCCAAAGTAGAAACTGGAACCCAACAGTCCTATATCCAAGCAAGTGGCTTCCAGTAAACAAGCAATTTATATGTGACTGAGAAATAGCTTGCTTGAAAGGATACGGGAACGTTTGTTTTTAAAATCACCTCTTAAAAAACAGCTAGTACCCCAATCAAGTTCCAGAACATGATGTTCTATGAAACTATCCAAGTTCTCTCTGAACTCATACTCGAGGCTACTATTATCAATTAGATCAAGTTCAACTCAAGTTCTCAAAAACTATGAAATACAAAGCCTTCTCAACAGTACCAGTTATTTTATTCAATGACTTCATTTATACTCTCACCCATTTAAATCCAATGGATTAAAGACTTTAGGAAAAAAAATGAATAGAAATTTAAAAGCTGAAGTGACAAAACAATTTTCAAACTAACAATATCTATGAAACAGAATAATATTTCAGATGTCAGTTTAACGAAGAGGCAACGTAACTATGTCAATAATTCATGAACAGTCTTGAATAACACTAATGCAACAAAACGCCAGTTCTACAGATTTCAAAAGATGAATTGTTTTGCCAAATTTGTCTAACACTGACCTGGAGAATCGTGAAACAGACTACGAACACTCTTTTCAGGAGTATTGAAGAAAGCTGTGGCCATCGCATTGTACTCTCCATCTGGACAAAATAACTGAAAATACAAAAGTTGCCATTAAGATCATGTTTCAAATGAAAACAAGAGAGAAACTTAAACTTTGCATGATTGTAATACGTGCATAGCTGTTTACATCGTCAGATAAACAACTTTGTAGTGTACTTCACCAGCTAAATTTCTTCAAAGCAAAGAAATTATTCTAATAGAAGCTTCCAAAATTCAGTCTCTTAAAATAACTCAACTTTCATTTGTGTACAACATCATGAACAAAACATCTATTGAACAGTTAATGACCCTCAGAGTAACCAAATATTTAACTGGCAACATCTTGGAATATACTTTGACATGAAAACATTTTTTGGGCAGATGGATACCCAGCTTCCTCTGTCTCCAATTATTGAATATTACACTGTCTAACTGTTTGAAGGTTTTCACGGGAGGTGAATGTCACTAGCTAGGTCAGCATTTATTGCTTGTGCCTAATTGCCCTCGAGAAGGTGGAGCTGACCTGTCTTCTCAAGCCACGCAGTTCTCAAGACCACGACCATAAAATGTAGGAGCAGAAGCAGGCTATTTAGTCCATTGAGTCTGCTCCGCCATTCAATGAGATTGAGGCTGATCTGATCAGCCTCAATTCCTCTTTGCTGCGTTTTTCCCCATAATCCTGGATTCCTCATTAATCTCAGATTTCAAATGACCAGCCCTTACTATAAAATTATGCCCTCTGGTCTCAGACTCCTACAAAAGAGAAACAACATCACAATATCCACTCTGTCAAGTACTCGAAAAATCTAATGTGTGTGGCCCAAAGCCATAATGAGGTCAGAAACTAAGTGATCCTCACAGCCAATATTATCCAATAAACATTAGCATAGTTAAGCAAAAGGTTACTTTTAAAAATTGAATTAAACACCTTTAGCTTGAATGTTAACTGTAAGGGAGGGTTTTACATGAGGGTAGATTTGGAGAGAAAGAACAGGAAGTACAGGGCAACGATATAGATAATGATAACCACAACATTAAAAAAAGACCAAAAAACTTACAAATATAAAATTGCTCAAGCAAATCTCGTTAGGAGATAGAAAAATTGTTGATAAGACAAAATTAAGTGCTCTTTATTGAAATGTACACAGCATTCATAATAAAAAGGTAGATAATTTCATAACAAAAGAAGTAAATTAGCTTGATTTATTACTTATTACAGAGACAATTGCTAAGTGACCATGACTGGACTTGTACATTCAAATGGTGTATATTTGGAAGGACAGGAAGAAATGGGAGGGAGGTAGCCTTACTTTGTTAATAAAGTATGTGATCAGTATGATAGCAAGAAATTCTTGCTTTGGAAGATCAAGATGTACAATCAGTTAGATGGAAATAAGAAATAGTGAACAGAGAAGTCACTGGTGGGAGTAGTTTAAAGGCCCTCTGACAGTATTCACACTACAGGAAAGAGTATACATCAGCAAACAATGTGGGCTTGCTAGAAAAGGATTGCAATAAAAGTGGGGAAGTTTAATCTTCATTTAGATTGGATGAATCTAATTGGTAATAGTAGCCTAGAGTATGAGTTCAGAGAGAACTTGGACAGTTTCATAGAATATCATGTTATGGAACCAACCCAGAGCTTAGCCTATTTTACACTTTTGTGCAATGAGGCAGGGTTCTTTAAAAGGCCTCACAAGTAAAGAATCCTTTTAGTAAGGAGGTGTCAATAACTTGATGAAATTTCACATTCAGTTTGAGAACAAAAAGTGCGGATCTGAAGCTTGAGATCTAATATTAAATAATAGCAATTTCTACTGTCCATTGTACTGAGTTGAGGGAAGAGGAAAAAGGTTTAGAAGGTGGAGAACAATTCGTGGAAGTAAGGAGATATTTCACGACTCTCAACAAAAGATATGAGAAAGAAAGAAGGGTGCACAGCCTATGACTAAAATTGACTAAGAATGTTCTTAGCGACATAAACAAAAAGTTGCTGGAAAAGCTCAGCAGATCAGGTAGTGCTCTGAGGAAGGGTCACCAGACCCAGAATGTTAACTTTGATTTTTTTTCTTCTCAGATGCTGCCAGACCTGCTGAGCTTTTCCAGCAACTTCTGTTTTAGTTCCTCATTTACAGCATCCAGTTATTTCACTTTTTATTAAGAATGTTATTCCATTGAAATAAGAGATATCCAATGCAGAGGTTAATGGTATGTTACAGGATTTGGAAAATGTTAGGAACCAGCAATAAAAAAAAATTGAAAGAGGGAGAAATTGTTAGGAAAACTAGGAAGTAATATTAAAAACATAAGTAAAAGCTCCTACAAGTCTATGAAAAGGAAGAGTAGGTAAAACATACTTTTGCCCCTTATAGGTTGAGGCTAGGGAATTAATAATGGGAAACAAGAAAATGGCAGAGGCTTGGAACAAGTATTCTGAATTGGTTCTCATGCTTGAAACCACTAGAAGTATTAGAAAATAAATCAGAAGCTAAAAGTGACTGATGACTTTTTAAAAAAAAGTTATTAATCAATACTAATGGAAATAAAAAATCTGACAAGTCCACTAAAATGATAGTCTGCATTCTAAGGTCTTAAAAGAAGTGACAGCAGACATGGTAGATGTATTCATGGCAATCTTTCAAAATTCTCTAGATTCTGAAAAGATCCCAGCAGATTGGAAAACCACAAACGTACCACCACTCAAGGGAGGGAGGGAGGGAGGGAGGCAGGCCAGCCAGCCAGCCTGCCTAACATCAGACATTAGGAAATGTTAGAATCATTATGAAGGAATTAGTTGCAGGGCATTTAGAAAAAAACCACAACGTAGTCAAGTAGAATCAACATAGTTTTATGAAATGAAGTCATGTTTGACAAATTTTAAAAATGTAACAATCAGGGTGGATAAAGGGGAAAACAATAAATGTAGCATTTTTGGATTTCCAAAAAAATATTCAATAAGATTACAAATAAACAAGTTACTGCACAAGATAAGAGCTCATGGTGTTGAGGGCGATATGCAAGCATGGAGAGAGGATTAGCTGTCTCGCAGGAAACAGTTGGGATAAATGGATCATTTTTAGGTTGGTAAAATATAACGACTGGAATGCTGCAAGGATCAGTACTGGGAGTCAATTCTTGACATTCCATATTATGACTTGGGTGATACGATCCTACACGATTAAAATATCTCAGAGTTACAGAAATGAATTAAGCGCTCCAAATACCACTAACAAAAATCAGTTAACTCAGCACAAAATGCACACTATGTAAACAGAGAATGATTTGGACAGACATTTTGCTATCTTAATTTGTGCAACAAGAGGTGAAAAGATTTGCAGAAATCACAGTTTTAGCTTCCTTTTGTGTTAGCATATACATTCATTGTTGTCTGTCCAAAACAGGCCAAGGTTTTTGCAATAGCAGACAAGGGCTACAGAAAAAAATTAAATAGTTCTCAAGTGTAAATTGCAAAATTATTTGCTTCTTTTCTTTAGGTTCCATGGGTACATATCAAAATTACTACTTGTAGAATTAAAATTAACATCCGTAAGAGAGATAATCTCTTAGAAAAGGCTGTTGAATTCAAAATATGAACAAACTTCTAAAGCTCAACTATGACTGCAAGTTTGTTTTCTTGCTTCCAGTCAATACTAATCCTTCCACTCACTGGACACAGGTACACAGATACTGGTCAACTTTCAGGACTGCAAGTAGCTATCTTTCATAGGAAAGCCTTAAACAGGTATTTGATTATAGAGAATATAACAACGCTGCTCCCCTCAATGTTCATTTATTACCAGAAACAGATCACTCAGCAGTAATCAGCAGTGCAAATCTAGCCAACATTCTCTTCCAGAAAAAAAGGGAGGAGCTATGACAAACCATAGCAGCTGCACTAGTGCTCCAACAGTACTTGGAAAATTAAATCATAACATTTCCATCTCATTTCTTTTTATCACAATATTTTATTGCTTTGTTATAGCATCTGTAGTTTCTCCCCGACTGAAGGAGCTGCAGTTGTGTTGTTGAAGAAATAATCTCTGAAATCCAAAATTTTAATCTACAATCTTGCAAAAATGAAACAATAACTTACTTGGAGTGGATATTTAATAGGATCTTCTCCAATAGGCTGGCAATCATACGTGTATATAGCATAAATCATGATAAAAGAAACTGTAGCAGTCACTGCCCCAACTAGCACAGCTTCAATTACTTGCAAACAGGGACGATGAACGTACCTTTTTAGACAAAATAAAAGCCAGTTAACATTTTATTACATTACGTACTGGTGTTAGAAATTGGAAATACGTCTTGTATATATAATCGTCAGCTTGAAATAGGTTAGTGCAGTAAATCAATCTTCCAGAACGATGCTTAAAAATGTGCTTCTCTAGAAACAAATCAGTGAATTATTTTAGATGGTGTAGGCTGTAGAGAGCCCAAAAAGCAGCCCTGGTTTGATGAGGTCTCTACAATTGTACGTTACAACTGGATGGATATTTTAAAAGAAATAACCACATTTCAAAACTGTGTTAGGTCTTCCAATTAATCTTGCTTAAGGAAGATGTATACTGGAATGTAAAAGTTTACTCATAATAGACAGAGAATTACTTAATCACCATGGTTCAATTATTCAGTAAGAAAAACTGGCTACGGAATCCAAAAGTCCTTGATAAACAGCTCACTATTACGCCTTATGAAAGCTTTGGGCATGGACTGACAAGAATCAGATGAAGAATATAAAACTTCTGATTGTCAAATGAGTAATTTTGAGAACAGAAGAAGAAACTGATTGAGGTATGAAAATGAGTTGAGATAAAGAAATAAAGTGAAGTCTGATAATCAAGGATAAAAGATACACGCAAAAACTCAGGAAGATAACATTGTGGGTGAGTTTATAGAAGCCCAAGTTTTAGATGAAAAAAGTTGACATTTTATTGGACATTTTGTAATAAGGTAGACCTTTAAAAGGGCAATCTTCCTTCACATGGCTCTACAAGCAGAAGCTAGGATCAGCTTTCAAAATCAGGTTCTCCAGGATTTGGCTCTCAAATGTCAGCTGGGGCATGTTATTCAAATCCACAGATTAGGACAGTGGAAACCTTGACCAGGAAGGGGAGATTTTGAGAAGCCAATTGTACATCAAAAAGGTCACATCTTGTCCATATTCTTCTACTGAGCGTCATCCACATGCTCTGGGGGAGATTAAAGTTTGGTAGTTGGGACATTTGGTCAGAGACAGTATGTTTATTTCGAAGATAGTTTTTGCCTAAGTTTTCCTCCAGGTCTCATCGGTGTTATGGAATTTAAGATGTTCAATACACAGGCAAAGTCAATGTTTTCTGATCCATGCAGTGAATAGGGTGAGTGGGTGAGAGGTATCCAAGGTGCTGCTGATACAAGTTATTTCTCGGTGTTCTCCTACGTAAGTTAGAGGGAGAGGCGACATTTGAGGGAACTGGTAAGCACTTAACAGGAGCTGATCTCAGAGTTCCAGAGATTAGCAGCAAGACGAGTGAAGTTGTGCTTTTCCAAGCCTGATGAGATGACTCATGGTTGATCTTTTTGGCAGTCTTTCAGAGGTTTGATGCTAAGTGAGGGAACGGTCAAGGTCATGCTGCGCTTTTTCTCCGCAGACAATAACAATTAGAATGCTGTGTGTCTTTCATATGGAATGCAAAGATGATGGACCTGGTTAGGTTTGCTTGACTTCTCCACTTATAAAAGTTTATAGCATTTTTTAAAAAGGTCAGAACTTCAGCCAGTTGTCAGGGCAATATCACTGGTGTAAATACATTTGCTAGATGGAGGCTGCTCAATTATGTAGATATTAAGAAGAGATCAAGCCAAAACACTGCCCTGTGAAAAAACGTTGTTGAAAAAAAAAAACAGTACAAGTCAAAAAGCTTTATGGAACCTCAGAGCAGGTAGGCAGTTGAGGATGATTCAAGTCTAATGCTCAAGTAATTTGAAGCTGTGAAGATCGAACACCAAGATGACAAGCAGCGAAGAAAGAAAAGGAGGAAGAGTTGTTCTCACAAGCCAACCATTGTCCCACTGCCAATCTCCTTACTTGTCACAGTCATGTGTCTTTGCTGCCTATTTAAATTGACCACATCATTTCAATGTTGTTGTTTCTTAACAAACTGCTCTAAAACTACATGGGATGCTAACATGCCTTTTTGGCTCTTGAACTAAATCTTACATTGGTCTTTAATTCAGTGCACTAGACAAAGATAGTTCAAAATCACTATCACAATTTATTATTTCAATCAGATTACTGTGAAAGCAAGGAGAAAATCTGTACATACTCTACAACACAGTGGCAGGATGTGCATGGGCCAGGGGCAAAAAGAGGAAAATATAAAGATTAAAAGTTCAACATTCAAAATTAAAACCAAACCATAAACACAAGCTTAAAAATGAAAACAATTTGTGTTTGCTTGTCACTTACAGTAAACTTAAATGGTTCTCTCTCAATGTGAGAAGGAAAGTCACCATAGTCCCGCTGGACAGCAGGATCCTAATGCTCTCTCATTAGAGAAAGATGACTGGTGCTGATTTAACCTGAAGGTCACCACACCTCAGGAGAGAGAGAGGTTGAGAAGGAGTCCTTCATGAAAACATCGGCCAGTGTGGACTTAACCTACACTGTTGGCATCACTTGCCATAACAAACCAGCCAACTGAACCCCTTCAGTTTCTATTTTGTATCAGAAAATACAAAATTAATTTTAGAGAATTTTGCATCTAAAGTATCTTGCCAAAACACTACCAAGAATAAAAGAGATATGCAGATTTACTGATGTTAAAATATGCATTGCTTTTGCACAATTTACCTGATTCTAAACATTGTAAGACAGTAATTCAACCGATTAAACAAAGCTCCTAATATGCCACCTGCAGGGTTACAAAGAGAATACAATGTGTTAACAGGTTTTTAAAAACATGTCTGCTAAACATATGTCACCACTGCAACTAAAGACAGAGATAGATTAATTCATTTGCTATTCATAGAAAAAGATATCATACAGTACACACGAATAGAATGCTCAACTGAACTGAGAAAACTAGATATCAATAACCATTTCTGCATTACATTTCATGTTGCTGCACCAAATATGCATAAATTATCTGCAGATGCTATCCAAACAATAATGTTCAATGATGATGCACAGGTTGCTGCCTTACCTGTTAAAATACCTATTCCAGGAATGCCCATAAAGAAGGGCAGGGGGCAGATTAATTGGATGATTGAGTTAAAAGGTCCCATCAGGGAAAAGTCATAAGGATTCCCTAACCAAACTGTTTGGAAATTACTTTTTCCCAGGTGTTCATAGTATGTACCATGACAAACTAACAAGAATACCAGAAAGCTTATGCAGAACTACTATTAGGTACCCAGGAGAAGTGAACAAACATACAGGCAGGATTATAAAACCAGTTTAAACAATGATGCCTAATAAACCTATATGGAAATACCACTGATAGCAACAATATTTGCTACCCCAACAGAAATCATGGAAGTGTTTGCTTCTGTTTTTATTCTAAAATTGATTGGTCTGTCTCTGCACTGTACCAGAAAAGCTCTTTAGCTATCTTTCAAAGAATTTCTAACCCTCAAACAGACACTTTACTTAGTCTCAAGCTACTGCAGCATGGCTTGCTTTTACTTTGATAACTCAAAAATACAGAAGCCAAAATGTTATTGCTATAACAGTGCTTAACATCCTATCAAGGCTTCAGCATCAAGATTATTCACTGCAACCTTGAAGTACTTATTTGAAAATCATTAAAGGTCAGAATCTTCAGTGAGCTTTACCAACCGGAGTAACTTTTAAGCTTGAAAAAGGCATTTGGCCGAGAGCAGGTCAACCACGTATGCTCTAGAACATCTGTTCTATGACTAAACATGACTTTGACGTATCATATCAGTTAGGATCGAAACAATAGAAAACAAAACACTGCGGGAGGTAGGGGGGTCTAAAGTGCAAAATTGCTTACTGCTCAAACCAGACAGCTCCTACAAGTGTTTCTTGGGTATAGTTAAGTGATAAATTCCTATGTGAGGTGGAACTTTATAATACCTGCCTGTCAGATGCTCCCAGTCAGAGAGAAAAACATATCCAGATATCACTGAAAGTGAAATACTGTAGATGCAAAGATCGTTACTCTAATAGTTATGTTGCTAGTTTTGAAAGACAGGTGGAAAGAGGAGTTTCAGATACAAATAAAATTCAAAACTACAAACAAAAGTCTTAAGAAAGCAGCTATTGTGTAAAACACAGTACAAGAGAAAACTAACATGTAGCTGAAAATGTTAGCATCACAATAATCTCATTAAAGCACATCACCAATCACAAAAAACGAAGCTCAAACAGTTTAGAAAACCTGTCTCATGAAACCTTGAAATAAATGTCAGCTTTGAAAGCATTTTCAGTTATCCAAAATCATGCAGGATAAAATTTATGAGGATACTTAGCTTCAATTTAACATGGCAAATCAAGCATGTCACACAGACCTTCACAACACCATTAATGCACGGTTTGAATCAGAATGATTTTAGTTTTAACAGTTAGCTTGTCACAATAACAAACAATGGATGTGTTCTGGGTTATAATATTCAAACATAGTGATTTAATTCTACTGTAGTAAATTTATGCATTTCCAGAAAAACAATGCCAATCAAGCTTTTATGCATGAATTATCAAACACCAAATTTGTCATCTTATTTTAACGTACAAGAATAACAATTCATATCAGATTCTCTGTACAATTACCAATTTGCTGCAAAATTTCAAATAGCACATTGTTTGCATTGAACTGCCTACGCCATTGCAGTGGTAAATAATACGTACCAATTGCACCTACAATGATAAATATAGGAATTTCATACCAATTATACTGTACAGCCTGTAAAGAAAACAAAAAGTAAAGAAATTGAAAGCAAAAAAAAAATGGAATTAATAATACTTGTATACATAGATTTAACTCATTTATTGATTCTGGGTTAGTGGATGCAATACCCAGGACTTTGTCTACAACATTCAGCAATATTTAAGATAGTCAACTGAGAAAACTAGGTCAACAGCCAACGATTATTCTGAAGGACACAATGATGATTGACAAAGGAGATCTAATATAATTTTTTAAATTACGGGACTATAAACATGACTGTACTAACCACATGGTATTGGTAAAATGGAAACCAAAAAAAAATTGCAATTAACATTGATAGGTAAAAGACATGCTTTCCTTCTACTTATTCTCTTACAAATCCAACTCTAATAAAACTCAACAGAAATTCTAGTGCCAAATGAACAAAATCCAGTCAGATAATATGTTAGCACATCATATTTCTTGTCACAACTGGGAAAATGATCACAAAGAATTGAATAAAGTTTCAGGCTTAGCTATATAGACAAAGAGAAGAAATGTAGTTTTTTTTTTCAACGCAAGCTAGCTTATCTTCTGCATACTTTGCATTTTTAGCACATAATAACAAGAAAACCAAGGATAAAACCAAGTATTTTAAAAATTAGGTTTTTGCTTTCAAGTTGTTATTGAACATAATTTGTCCAATTGTAGGTGTTAAAAATTTAGGCCTTTCCTTTTGAACTGCTAGACATAACCAACATTTTCCCACAAACGTATTTGGCCCCCAACCCACAAAATGAGATTAAATCTCAGTATTCATACTAAATTAGCTCTTATTGCAGAGAGGAGGGAAATTTTGGATTGTCCTTTTTGAAGTGCAAAACGAAAGTAATATTAGAAGTGATTAAAACATAACTTCACATGCTGACATGGCTCGTCTTAATTGTGCAATCAAGAAAAAGCAAAGCAAAAAGTACAGAAATTAAACAAATATATTCAAATTTGCACACAGTAAGACACCTGGACATTTCCTCTGCACGTTTCTTGTTATGTTGATATTTACAGATTGTACTAACATTTAGTTTAGATAGGAGCTGGACGATCTAAGCAATTAAGACAAACTCATTAAGAAGACAGATGGAGATTAATGTGGCTAAGCCTTGTATCATCCTGTTTTGTCCCAAGAAAGATAAATCATGTCTTTTTTTAAAATTATGAGAATGTAGGAACTACACAGAAGCAAAAAGAGATCGGCATCAGTAATGGTATATGGGATGTGATAACAGCAGTGCTGGTTACTGCTGGTCATTTTACAGAACCGATTGTCAGTGAGGATTCACTCGGACCCACAGTTCTTAAGCCTGAACTGCTTGAAACATGTACTTGCACCATCTTTGCAAGGTGGAGAGTGATTTGAGGCTCTGCTCAACTGAAATACACAACATGAGAGTTTCACTGTTGGGAAGAGAGTAAGTGCATGCACAGAAGACAGTACCCTCCACGATTAACTCACATGGAAAAAGCAAATCCCCTAAAGTATTCATTTTAATTGCAGAGCTCTAAACAAACAAAAAGAACATTTAATTCTAATTAAAAAGACTGCAGGACTGTATTCACTATAATTTAACTTGATTTGTCTTTTGAAAAATTCCAACTTGACACGATGCTGTCAAGATACCACTAGAACAGCTGCAGCACAGGAATGAAGCAATTTGTTTCTTTTGTCAGTGAACAGTATTTGTAGCCATCATCATTATTATAGAAATTAAAAATAGCTTAATTTCCATGCTTCAACCACACTTTTGATGCCAGCATTAGAATTTTGACATGGCACTTCTGACGTAACAAACTGCTAATGGGATAGCGCAACTATAAAATATCATTCATTATTTCACTCTTTCTTACCTCACTTTGAAACCGTCCAAAGTTGATCAAACCTGGGTTTGACAGATCACCAGGTTTACCATGGTAAATACTCAGAACAAAGTTCAAAGTAAATGTTGAAATCATTGATGCAAAGAACTGGAACAAAGAAAATTTCCAAGAATAAAATTTAATGAAAAAATGAAAAGAAACAGACTAAGGGACTTCATAACTATAAAATACCCACCAGTGAAGCTGTTTGTGTGTCTACATTAAATACTGAATTGTTATCAGTTTGCCCCATCATCTAAAGAATACAAAAGTAGAATTCGGCCATGACAGTCACACTGATCCAATAGCTGAGCATCATATGCTGCCTAGAAATGGCGTGGCGGCATCCAGATGTGCAAGACTCAGTCTCTAAACAAATTGACAATTATTCCTCTCAAACTGAATAAAAACTGAAACAACTGTGGATGTTGTAAATCAGGAACAAAAACAGAAAAACAGAAAAAAAAAACTGAGAAAGCTCAGCAGGTCTGGCAGTATCTGTGAAGTCACAAAATCAGGATTAATGGTTCAGGTCTATTCTGAGGAAGGGTCACCTGATCTGAAACATTAACTCTGATTTTTTGCTTCACAGATGCTGCCAGACCTGCTGGGCTTTTCCAGCAACTTCTGTTTTTATTCCTCTCAATCTGTTGTGCATATGTTGCTTCAACACTGTTCTCTCACCTGCAAGTAGATGGCCAGCAACCAGACTTCTGAACCCATTACCAATGTCATACATTATCAGCGAGAATTTTATTTTAAAACTTTTAAACTAAAACTTTAAATATAAAACAGATCAATTGTATTATATGTGCAACACCTAGCATTTAAATAATAACTGAAATGAAATACAATGGACTAAAGCACATTATAAGCGTTACCAAACAAAATTCAACACAAGGGCAGGCAAGGACACAACACCAGGCCAGATGACAAGATTGCTCAAAAGAGATAGATTTTAAATGAGAAAGGGAGGTGGAGATATTTACGGAGAAAATTTCAGAACATAATGCCTAACAGCTGAAAGAAAACCTGAAACACTGAAGAGACTTGAACTGGCAGAATATAGACTTGCTATAGGGGCTCGAGGACATCATAGAATAGAAAGGAGTGAAGACAAGGAGGGATTTGAAAACATCAGAATACTTTTTACTCTTTCATGGGATGTGAGCATCACTGGGATTGTTGACTATAAAAATAATTTGAAAGAATTAAATCTTAAATAGCAAGCTATATTCATTGCCTGTTCCTGCAGGCTGCCCTGAAAACTGGGAACGTCCTTTAAAAAAATGTAGGTCTGTAGAAGAATCTAAAACTGCACTTCAAGATCCAGAAAACAGCCCTTTGGGCCAGGACACCAATCTAAAAGGGAGCAAAACTCAATTTAATCAAATCCTCCCATTTAACTAACAGTTCCAACATCATCATGGTAATTTTTAATGGACCAGTAATTCCAAGGCAGGGTGGAGGTACTGAGGTGCGAATGGGTGGATGCATTCATGTTATCATGAGGAGTTTGGTGATAGTGAAGAGGAAACAGCCAATGATAGACCCCAGGCAGAGACCAACTGTGACCACATCAGCAGAGGAAAAGCTACTGCCAACAACATTGTGCCTAAGCAGAGTTGAAGACAGTACAAGCAGAAGCAGGATAGCTTTGTTTTTGAGGTAGATTAGACAGAAAATAGTGAAGACAGGTGAAACAGTAAGAACAGCAACAAGATAAGCAAATCAAACAAAAAGATATTGTTAAAATCTTGGAAATGTATTTTGCCGGAATGATTCTGACCTGTACAGCATGAGAACAAAAGTCTGATCAGAGTGCTGCAGAGGATTTTGGAGATGAATTTAGCATTTTAGATAGGACAGTAGAATGACAGAGCTAATCACTTGGATAGGAACTAATACAAGAGTTTTGAAGAATACTGTGTCCCATAATAATTGGTGGTAACTGTGAGGTATTCTATTTTATAAATTTCATTCACTTACAATGCGCCAAGTCAGCAATTGATTCCAGAAGGATGCCCCTTCTTCCAAGCTGAAGAGAACACCGCCTACAAAGTAAATTTACATAACAAGGAAGCTTCACTTGAAAAAAATCACAAATTATATCAAAAATTAAATCAAAAGAATATTATTCATTTCAAACAAATGCATCACCAGTTTTTAATGCATATAAAAATACTTTCACCCCAAATTATTAGGGCAAAAACTACTTTTTGAATAATAATAATAATTTAGATAGGTTGCTATGTTCTCCAAAGAATTCGAAATTCAAAACACAATCAAAATTGATGTTTTCACAGTTGTCTTCGGTATTTTAATGGGCATTTCATATTATATCAAATTAGAACCCTTTCACGAAGAGTAATGTTTAATTGTATTGGGGTTATCACACCAAGGAAACTGTAAATATTATACCATTAGTACCAAACAAGGACAGTTGGCGCTTGTGAGCAGCTATAACTACCCAAGCATATTTTACACAAGATCTTTATGACCAGAACGACAATGCTGTCACATCAAAGGAAATTGATTTCAAGCCCAAACTTGTGACAAAAAGGTAGTATGCTGATCAACCCCCATGACAGCTCCCTCTAGAAGTTCTTCATGGAAATGGTTGACTACTTATGCAAATTCAGGTTCAATTTTCCACCTTTTAAAAAGGAATATCACTTACTCTGAGTCTTTTTTTCCCCAAGATAGAAGGTTCACATTCATGAAACATTCTTTTTTGACATGAGAAACTTAAACTTTGCAAATCTTTTTGATGAAAGGCAATTGATCTAAAATGCTAACTCTGTCTCTCTTTACACTGTTAAAATCTTTTGATATTCATCATGAGAACAGCATATTCCTCATCATATAGTCCCTTACCTACTGGGGCACCGAAAGCAGCAGAGACCCCTGCTGCAGCACCAGCTGACACAAAATCTCGTTTCTCAGTATCTCTGCGAAAATACTCAAATATCTGAAACATAAAACAGCAAGTTGACATTCATTTTCTGTCACCTACTTTAAAGCTATAGGCTTGTTTTCAGTCTGAAAATTCAAAAGCTGCTCTAGCCACAACTGCAGTGATAAATCTCCAGACTAAAAGTTGCTTCAATAACTAGCAAAATACTTCCTTTCTAGAAGTGTAACATAATTGTTAGGACTACACAAATTAAAGACAAATGAATAGGTAAAATTTATACCCATTTCCACAGACAATGTACAGAGCCCAGTAAACACCTCAACAATTAATTTCTCCCTTGCCCAGCCACAGTCATTTGTTAGGACAGAATTTGAACATTACTTAAGAAAAGAACTCCTTATTGAAGCTCTTCATCTTGAACAAATTCAAGGAGGGAAACCGAATTTATATTCTAGGCGGAGTGTTGATCGGTTGGTAAGTGGACTCTGCTTGGTATAGGAAATGCAATGAGAATGGGAGCTGGTTAGCTCAGTTGACTGGCTTGTGAATCAGAGTGACACCAACAGCACAGGTTCGATTCCTACTCAGACTGACTTCACCACAAAGGTCCTCCCTTCTCAACCCCACCCCTTGCCTGATACATGGTGACCCTCGGGTTAAGCTCACCACTAAACATCTCTATGAGACAGCAGCCCTCTGGTCCTCTAGGACAATGGCGACTTTATTTTTTATGCTATGAGAATGCAGCAGTTAATGATAATTGACAGGCTTTGTTTAAACTTTAAGCCAGGTAAACTGACTCTAATTGGCCATAACATTGCCCTAAGAAAAAAAAGTGAATGGCTGTCACTTGTTTTGTTGAGTTGAAAAAGGTATCCTGCACGTCAAGTTCTTTCTGTCTTAAAGGACAGGGGTCTGGTGTATTTAGAAATACATATAGCTTCTAACTCTTGCAATGCTATACACTGGGAACTCAAGCAACAATCGTAAATTAGTTGCCAGGATAATTCCTCACATACTCAGTACTATCCAGCAATGTTATTTAACTGCAGAACCGCATTGAATGTTGTGAATTTTGTAAGCATGGACAAGTTGAGTAGGATCAGTCCTTGGCTTGTTAAGTAATCAGCCGAGGGATATACTGCTTGATACGATCCAGAAGACTTTAGGACACTTGGCTTATGTAGCTAGCATCATACCAACACTGAAATTCATATACCCCATTTCTCATTGTGTAAAAGGTAAAAGTGTTGCAACTGCATTATAGCAGCGTGAAACAGCTAGCTTTGCCTGTTCCTCAAACATTTGAGATAAGTTACCCTAGATGGGCAAGCTAAGGTAGAGTGTGCACTTTTCAGGATCAAGAGATCACCTTAGAACTTTTCCCACTTTGGCAGACAATGTTGTTGAAAATGGAACTCAACTGCACAAGTTGCTGAGTCCATAAGTCATGCACCCATGGAAAGTCTAGATCACCAACGATATGGTTCTGCAGCACATATCTATGGCTTCCTTGAGTGCTACATTGGTGAATAGGCTAGCTCAAATGAGCACACAGTCAATTATCATTAACTACTGCATTCTCCATGGCAATGTCTACCAGAGTCCGCTTGCCAATTAATCAGCACTCTCCTCTCATGTAATTGTTGGTTTTCCCCTTTACGGATACTCATGCAAATTGTCCAGCTGAGCGCAAGATAAAGAGTTTCAACTGAAAAGTATTTCATCAGCAACAATCAAATTTAGTAATTCTCCATAATATCAATAAATTTCAGTATGCAAGGTTCCCAAATTAAAAAAAGTCAGTCAATCTATATTTCATATTAAATTTGCTCCAACACAAGAATAATGAACAAAGCTGTGTTAACAATTCATTAAAATGTATAGGCCTAGAGTTTCTGCTCGTTTTCCACTGAGATCACGCACAATCTGGATAGACTGAAAGGAAACAGCATAAATGATTTAAGATTGTACAACCAATGTACATTTGTACGTGTAATTTATGCTGGACTTTATGGATCTTTTAAGATTCATAAGGTCAATTGCCTGAAACAATCTCAGTCCACCACACTAATTATGTCACCAGGGCAAATTGGTGCGTATTCATCAGAGGTGCACATCATATGTACCCAGAATTCTGGGCACATAGATTCACGATCATATCAACAATAATGGGTAACTGCAGTAACCGGCAGTCATCAGAAGTCTCATTCAAATCTGTTTCTTGTGTTGACAGTATAATTATTTTAAATTACTTTATCTAAATTCAAATTCAGTCAATTAATCCAGCCTTGATACACCACAGGTGTGGCTAATAAACAGAAATGACCAAGTGACCTGTTTGTTCAGTTGCAAGAATTACTTGAACAAATTAGCAGCTTACATTCAGTCACCCAGAAGACTATTTATTTATTGACGAGAACACAGCCAATTAAAAAATGGACCAATATGCAGGAGATTTTACATTTGGGGTTATGTTAATGGAAAGAGAAAGTAAATAAGAAGAGAACCGTGTGAAAACTAACCTTAAAATCTCTCTTCAAAGTTGAGGATCTGCCCTGTGAAATGCCAGCTGCAATTACAGCACCAGAATGAATCATAGGACCTTCCTAGAAATAAGAGTCAGTAACATGAACACACAGCTATGTTAAAATTTAGAAAGTAATTTAATCTATTCAATTTAGAATGAATTACTGATCTCAATTTAATCCATTTCAAGTTCTGCAACACATTTTATTTTTCAAAAAAATCAAACTATCTTACAATACACAGCAACATTAAAGCTTTCATGCGAACAGAATGGCTAGATTGCCAATATAATTTTCCCCAGTAATTTAGATTTATTTTTCTTCAGTTACAGAATATTTGCACCGTTGACAAAACCAGCATTTATTGCCCATCTTTAACTGCCCTCTCAAAACTGGTGCTAAACTACTTTCTTGAACTGCAATTGTTCATGCATTAAAGTTACTTCCACAGTGCTCTTGGATGGAGGACTGCGGGATTTTGACTAATCAAGAGGGCCTCAATCCTAGGATGGCATTGAATAGTGTGTTTTTGGAGGTGAACTCAATGAGGCAATGGAGAATATAGTATTCTTTTACACCAAGTCATGCCTTGCAGAAGACTTTGGAGAATCAAGAGAGAATACATAGCTTCTGACCTTCATTGTTGCACATTAATTATGTGGTGTCTTTGGCTAGCGGTGAGCCCAGGATGTTTATGGTGCAAGATTTGACAGTGGGAATGCCATTTATAGTCAAGGGGAAACCTAGATTGACAGTCTAGCTACAGAATGTCATTGCCTGACAGCTGTGCAGCACAACATTACTTTTCACTTATAAACATAGTGATACTCTCTGGTTGAGGAGTTTAGAACTAGAGGGCACAATTTAAAAATAAGGAGGATGCCAGTTAGGTCCGAGATGAGGAGAAAAGTTTATTATTTAGAGGCTGGTGATTCTTTGGAATCCTCCATCTTGGAGGGCTGTGGAAGCTCAGTCATTGAATAAATTTAAAGCAAAGGTTGATAAATTTTTGATTATCAATGGTGTAAGGGTTATGCAGATAGTGTAGGTAAAAATGAATTGGAGTGTTCAATCAGCTATCATTGTGTTGTTGCCCAATGTTATGAGTAAGCATAGGTTTAGGCAGACACTTGAGCAATCTCAGATTTTCAGGAAATCAACGAAACCCAGAAATACTGGAAGAGAGAGTCCAGCTGCATTTCTGCAGCCAGGAAACAACTTTAGTATGAAATGAAGTTTTGAATTTAAAAGTCTGTTGAATGATTTTAATGGATTTTATAGAAATAAAAACAAGTGCAATAAATTATCCATTGAGGTTGGTATCATTCTGCGAACACTGCTATACTCCAAAATTTCACCAATTAGAATATTTCAGAAATAAGTACGTACAAGTTAAGCAATTTGCAATTCCTGTTTTCACTTTATACTTATATTTTTCAATGATCACAACTCCACATTTTTTTTTTTAAATTCACTCACTCATGGGACATCGGCATTACTGGCTGGCCAGCATTTATTGTCCTTCCCTAGTTGCCTTTGAGAAGGTGGTGGTGAGCTGCCTCTTGAACTAATGCATGTGCTGAAAGTAAACCTACAATGTTGTTTGGGAGGGAATTCCAGACCCCAGATATAGTAACAATGAAGGAAAGGTGGTAAATTTTCAATTCAGGCTAGTGAGTGGTTTGGGGGGGAAACCTGCAGACGGTGGTGTTCCCAAAAATCTGCTGCCCTTGTCTTACTGGATGGAAGTGGTCTTGGAAGGTGCTGACTAAGGATCTTTGGTGAATTTCTGAGGTGCGTCTGGTAGATAGTACACACTGCTGCTACGGAGCATTGGTGGTAATGGGAGTAGATGCTTGCGGATGTGGTGCCAATCAAGTAGGCTGCTTTGTCCTGGATGGTGTCAAGCTTCTCGAGTGTTGTTGGGGCTGCAGTCATCCAGGCAAGTGGAGAGTATTCCATCACACTCCTTACTTGTGCCTTGTAGATGGTAAACAGACTTTGGGGAGTCAGATGTTAAGTTACTCACTGCCATATTCCAAGCCTCTGACCTGCTATTGTAGCCACTGTATTTCTATAGTGAGTCTAGTTGAGTTTCTGGACAATGGTAATCCCCAGGATGTTGATCGTGGGGTATTCATTGAATGTCAAGGGCTGGTAATTGAATCATCTCTTAAAAGATAATCATTGCCTGGCGTATGCGTGGCACAAATGTTACTTGCCACTTCTCACTGGATATTGTTCAGGTCTTGTTACATTTGAACATTGGTTACTGCTGTATCTGAGCAGTTGCAAACGATGCTGAACATTGTGGAATCATTGGCAAACATCCCCACTTCTGACCTTATGATGCAGAGAAGGTCATTTGTGAAGCAGCTGAAGATGGTTGTGTCTAAGACACTACCCTGAGGAGCTCCTGCAGACATGTCCTGGAGTTGAGATGACCGACATCCAATAACCACAATCATCTTGCTACATGTCAGGAATGACTGCAACCAGTGAGGAGTTTGCCCTGATTCCCATTGATTCCAGTTTTGCTAGAGCTCCTTAATTCCACACTTGGTCAAATGTGGCCTTGATGTCAAGGTCTGTTACACTCACTTCACCTCGAATTCAACTCCTTTGTCCATGCTTGATTCAAGTCTGAAATTAGGTCAGGAGCTGAGGGGCCCTGGCAGAACCCAAACTGGAATGTTGGTGAGCAGTCTTTGTGGTTCTGTGCACACAGACATTGCAAGATAGGAATGGTCAGTCAGACCCAGCCAGGACTTCTGCAATTTCTTATACTCCACCAAATTGCCCAACAATTTTGTTAAACACGACTTACAACTTTTGCTTCTTAACTGCAGCTCCTTATTTTAATCCACTTATTTCTATCCCGCTAAAAAGGAAATACTGAATAGTCTGCATAGCACATGATAGGGCTAATGCTCTCTGTTTAAAATAACAATGCTAATCCTGCACTGCAGCAAAGTAGGTTTTAGGATTTATCACCAACTTATTTGTATCCCTAACAGAAGCCAAAAAATACTTATTAATGGATCACTATTAAAAGCATACCAAAACAATGACTTGCTTTATAAGATTAATACAAGAGTTCACACTTGGCTTAATTGTAATAACATATTTTGGGATTAAATATTGTACTAATTGCCTAATGCATGACTTTAATAGATACCACAAAACATTTTCAGATTTCAAAGCCACGAGGGAAGATGATGCAATGCAGTTCATGCAGGATATGGGAAGCAGAACTTGTGTGGAAACTGCATGTGGCTCTTTGTTGTACATTACCTTCCCAACTGCCAGTCCACCAACGACAGAGGAGATCACACCAAGGACTTTGACTATCAGAGTCTGCAAGATAAATACAACCATAACTCTGAAGAGTAACAGCCTTTGCAAACGGAGGTAGGTCAGTCAGCTACAATACGAGTGGACAGAAAGCTACTAGTCCACCTGCCTGCCTAGCCTCTTGAAATCTCCCCTCAGCCTACAGCTTCTTTCACCAACAACCACAGGCGCCAGTAAACGTTTTAATCATACACCCTTCCTTCACGTCCAAATGTTTGTTTTTGAGAGTTATAGCATTCATGAAGCAATATGCTTCGTTTACAATCTCTAAGCCAAGTTTGGTTCCAACTTGCTACTTTGCCTTGGATCCTATGGGCTTTGATTTTTGTGAGCAGTCTGCCAAAAGTCTTATTAAAATTGGCACAGAATCTATCAAATTCACTACCTTCACCGTTGTTAACCCCAAATATGACATCACATTTGTCAGACCCAGCTTTAACAAATGTGTGCTATCTTTAATTTGTCAAGGTTTATTCTTTCATCAGAATTTTTCCAATAAATTTCCACCATCCATGCTCGGCTGATTGACTTGTGGCTACATGGCTTATTCCATTCTCCCTTGAGATCTAACTGCTGATTTATAACCGTTTATCATCACATCCAGGCTGTTGTACTCTGCCATTGTTTATAAAGCTGAGGATTCCATGACATTTTTAAAGCAGCATGCACTGTATCGAATGCTGTCTTGAAAGCATGATGGTGTGTTTGACCAGGTCAGTGTAGAAATGGATCAAGGAGGATCAATGTGGACACAATTTAACAAGATGTCATTAACGATTTCAATGAGAGCTGTTCCACAGCTGTGACTTTGGCTGGCGGGGGGGAACGAATGTGACTTGACAGATTCTTGGAGGAGTAGGAAAGATGGTGCTCAGACGGTTCACATATCTGAGAACAAGAGAGGGAAAGGAGGCTGCAGGTGGGATAGAAGTTTGCAAAGACTGTTTTTGTTTGCGGAGGGTGACGCTGACAGATTTGTTGAGAGGTTAGTGTCTTCATAACATCATCTGGTATTGGGACAGAAACAAATCTGATGGTCGACAGTTTAGTGGGGATATGATGATGACAGTTGGTGGTACTGCTCAGGTACAAAAATTAGCCAAAGTTGGAGAGAAACTAGAAAAAGATGCATATTCAAGGCAAGGAAAAGGAGAAAAATGCATAGACAGATCAACTGATGTTCCAGGTCAGACAGTGCAATTTTCCCTTCCATGGGGTGAACGAGGAAGTTGGCAAGAAGGGCAAGTAACTGGGTGAGATGGCCCTGGAGAGATAATGACTGAGGTAGCAAGAATGAAGAAAGCATGTTAAAAGGAGGTAAAGCAAATATTTAATGGCTTTGACTTGCCACCAGCCTGCCTTCTCAAATAAGAGAGGCTGGTTTCTTGAATGGGAGTCTACGGAGATCTGCCTGCTAATTCATTTCGAAGGGTGGAGTTCTCTCCATTTGCCCAAATTAGGGGCACAGATGAGCAAAAGCAGGTGGATACAAAAAGCTGCCACCCTATCCTTGCCTCTGACACATTCTTCTCTAAACCCTCTTTCCTATCAGATCGGAAAGGAAATTATCTCCCTTCTTGCCATTGGATCCCCTGAAGACCAAGTGTCCAGCATGATACCTGGGACCAGAAATCAAATTGGCAAGATGGGACCTCAACAGGAGCCCATGATTCACCAGTCATCTTGTACCTACTTGACTGGAGCTTGATCCAATGAGCTCTCTTAATGTTTTAAGCACTAAATATTGGCCTTAGGTGACAGGGAAGGCCATGAGTTTCTCAGTTGGGAATGGAGGGAACAGGGTTTAAACTTGCTGATTGGTCAAACAAAAACTTCTGTATGTTTTCTTTGCATGTCAGAATGTTCCTGGAATAGAAAAAAAAAACAGAACTTGACAGAGTACAGCCAAATCTCGAGATGAATGGCCAAACTAGCTGTGCACCTTAAAAGTTCATATGCATCCTGTGAAGTAACATGAATGAAGATGAGTACAAATCAGCATGGGAGATGTTAACCATTTTATTCAGTAAGGAACAACAAGAGTCATTGCAGAACTAACTCAGTGAATGGGAACCAAAGATTGGACAGTACTTATTTTGCTTCTCCTGTAACAGGAAAACATGCAATATGTTTTAGGCAAATACACATTCAAAATCAGCATAATAATATGTCTCCTTTTCCCTTCTCTTTTAAGGAAGCTCGTGGAGAACACATTTTCTAGAACCAGATCGCCATGAGCCATATTCATTTTATGAACAGGTATTGCTTATATCAAAATATGACAAGCTAATTACAGAGTGACACCATGGTTTGTATCAGAGGACTAGATCATTTCGCCCTTCAGTTTCTTCCATGCTTGATCTGTACCTCAGCTCTATGTACCCACCTTTGATTTGAATACATTAAATTTCTTTTCAAATTTTAACACAGTTGCGTGTTCATGTTACTGACTCTTATTTCTAGGAAGGTCCTATGATTCCCCACCAGAGGGCAAAGCTATTTACCCAATTCTGTTGAATACTACTATAATTTTATCCCCTCAATGTAAAGAGGTGAGTAGTGAACTATCACAAAGGCCACAAGTTTAGGCAAACTGGCCTCAATGTAACTGTTCAAATCAAGGTGCAAGTCTAAAGTCCTAGTTTCAATAATGAATTAAAACATTAATTTAATGCATTAGATATGAACAGAGTCCCAGATTTTCATGAAATGATTTAGTGTTATGACATGGAAACAGACAGCCAATCCGAATCAGCCTTTCCATCTCTGTATTTGCTACAAAATAAAATTAAATCAAGGACCCCTCCAAAATACTCACTCCAATGGTGTCTAACTAGAATTTTGACTAATCAATCAGAGACTTTGAAAATAATTAACATACAACTGATATCTAGAAATTAAACGCAAGACTTAAAGTTATTGCGTATCCAATAAATAGTTGGCAGAGAGAAAATTAAACAACAAGGCGAGCTGATTAATGTCGGTGCTTTAAAAAAAAAATGCTTTGGGTTTTCAGCCACTATTCACACAAAAGACAGACAAACAATTAGTGGATAAATGAAAGAAAATAACAAAACTGACCAGATAATTAAAATGGCTTTCAAAATGCATTGTTTCACAGACACAAATTTGGACTCCTTGGTTGCTTTTCAGAAACGGTGATTAGTGATACCAGATCACCCACTTAAAGGCAGCAATACTTCTAATTCTGCTCTCTTCTCTTTGAGCTTCTGGAAGCTGGTATATCAGACTAGGCAGGGAGCTGTCAAATCATCACACTGTCTCAGCAGTAGTCCAGAACCATCTCTCAGAAAACAGTTCAAAAAAAGCCACTAAATCTGGCTCCATCCCGATAGACTAATCAACTGTTCGAGTCCTCAATTACCTTTCAACTGCCATGTGCTTGAACATAGGGTCTCTTCCAAACTTGCTGGAACTAATCCCAGGAACTGACTTCATTAATAGCCAACTTCTACTTTCTATTTAAACAATGCTCTTTCTGAGGTCGCTGTGCCTGTTAGAACTTTTGAAAATCAAGGCTCAGCCTGTAATTAGTCTTTGAATTGGACCCCTGGCCTCACAGACCAAGCTTGTTTGGCCTGTTCTTTTCCTTTTACCACGAGCTGTCCTAAAGTCCACCAGTCATTTCCAGCTCATAATTCAAAATTGATTAAAGAATAAAAATAAATAAGAAAAATGAGTGTGGGTTCTAACAAAAAGAAAACAACCATTTCAGAAGGTTGTGGATCACACTCTAGATTCTTGAGCAGAAATGTCTAGTTGACAATTAGCATCATACCAGGTGTAATTGACAGAAACTTTCCCACGATGAAAAAGTTCAGTTATGAGGATAGAGTGGTGGGGTTAGAACTGTTCTTCTTGGCAAGGGGAATGCCGAGGGGAGATTTGATCAAAGTTTTCAAAATCACAAGGGGGCCTGGATAGAGTGGATCAGGAGTAAAAGGATCAAAATTGAGAGGGCAAACAGTTAAAGTGATTTACAAAAGTAGAAAGAAATGTGAGAATAACTATTTTCATACAATGAGTGGTTTGGTCCAGAACATACTGTGAAAGTTTCATGGTGGCAGGTTCAATTGAGGCATTCAAGAGGATATTAGATGATTATTTAAATAAAAATCATGTGTAAGGGTATGGGAAACCAGAAGGCGAACAGCACTAAGTCATGATACTCATTTGGTAAGCCAATGCAGACATGATGGGCCTCCTTCTGTACTCAACATTTGTGATTCAAAATACTGAGAAACTGCTGGATTGTCGAAGACAGAATCTTTCAAATGGGATGTTAAACCAAGGTTTTGTCCACACTCTCTGGTGGACATAAAAGATCCCATGGCACAATTTTGAAGAACAGGTGGGAGTTTATCCCTCAATAAGCATCACCATGATTGAACAAAAATGAAATAAGAAGTTGTATTTAAACAGCACTTTTTACAACATGTAGTTAATGGACTATTTCTGATGTCAATTAAATGTTGCAACGGAAACCTGTAGACAATTTGCATACAGCAAGTTGCCATAAACATCAATATGACAAAGACCAGATTTGTTTATGTTCTCCATTGAGAGATCAACATTGCACAAGACAGCCGGGATAGCTCTATTGATTGATGACATCTCCAATAATACAGCATGTTCAATACTGCACTGGAATGCCAGCCTCGATTTATTTTGTTGAAGTCCACGAGTTGAACCTACACCTTGAGATTCAGAGACAAGAATACTGCCGGCTGAGCCGCAATGGATCATTTTATAATTTGTCCATTGCTATTTGTCAGGGCTTGCTGTGCTTCCTACGTTACAAAAGTGATTACACTTCTCAAAGTATATTGGCAGCTACAAAGCACGTTGAATTATCCAGTCTTCCTGAATGTATTTTTCTTTTGCATATTTCATAATTTGAAAATTAAACTTTCAAACATTAAGTCTTTATAATTCAGTTCTTGTAAACAAATAAAAAGTGCTGTCAATCACAAACTGCAGTTCTTCATGCAAGTTTTTTTCCAGCATACAGGTTTTCAGTTGCCAAACTAATGGTTAAGAGCAAATTCCACACAATTCATTTTATTAAACATTCAACCCACCTTAAGTCGAACCACATGTGGAACCTTTACTCCATTAAGATAACATTTGATCTGGGGAATTCCACTGCCAGCTGCTACAGGCTAAAGCAAACATTAAATAAAAGAAGTCACACAAAAATAATTCAGCACCGCCCTTCAAAATGGTCAGAGTTTTAAAAAAAAAACAGAAAAAGCTAGAGAAATTCAGTAGACCAGGCAGCATCTGTGGACAGAGAAACAGAATGTTTCAAGTCTGACACACTTAATTACCAAAACGAATGTATGTTTAATAGGACACTGTCAAATTGTTGCAAGTTTATAAACACTGTCTAAGATTACATTTTGAATGCTAATTTCAGCACTGCTGATAGAGTAGTTCACTAACATTCTTAATAAAATTAGGTTGAAAATATTATGCATAAAACGCAATAAATCTCACTACCTCTACAAACGCCACCAAAAAAGAGCCAACGACCACAAAACCAGCATTCAATGATGCCCAAAGGACAAGGGAAATGGATAATCCACCTCCTTCAATAGATTTGTCGATATCTATGTATTATTTAAGGAAAGATAGTAGCAATCTGCTTAAAATATTTGAACAGAAATATTATACGAACATAAGCAAAAACAAACCAATGGTGATAGGTTACGCAGTTCAAAGAAAAAGGAAAAGGATACTTTCTTTAACTACTTTGTATTTTACATCAGCAAGTTTTTCCACAACAATATCAATAAAACAGGCTACAAGGCCAGTAAAGATTCCAATGAAGCAACAGACAATCCATCTTTTGATTTCAAGTACGTGAAAACCCTAAATGAAGGAAAGAAAAACACTAGCTAAATCAGCAGTATCACACATATAATGTGGCTACATACAATTTCAGAAAAGCCTCTATAAATCAGTATTGAAATTAAAAAGTGCAAAAACCCAATAGCTGTGGACATCAAACCTTTTGTTCACAGAAGACAAGAGTGAGTGCAGATATTTGGCTAATCAGGTAACCAAATTATCAGTTAACAGGAGACGGTGGCATGGCAGTGACATCACTGAACAGTATTGCCGATGCACAGGCTAATGCTCTGGCACTTGGTCCAATTCCCATTAGGGCGGTGATGAAATTTGAAGTCAATATTCAAATTTCAATATTCAATTGGTAAATCTGGAATTAAAAGCTAGTCCCAGTAACGGTGACTGTGAGACTATTATCGATTGTCATAATGACCCATCTGGTTCATTAATGTTCCTTAAAGAGGGAAGTCTGTCACAATAGCCCTCTGGAACAGCTTTGTAAGTCTCTCAGTTGAAGACATTAAGGGATGGATAACAAATCGCAGTCTTACCAGTGACACTCACATTCCACAAAAGAACAAAATTAATCAAATAAAATATTTCTAAGGCATTTCACCAATCCACACTGAGTAGCACCTTTTGTATTAAGATCAGTTAGCTCACTCTTAGAAAAGTTATCAGTACAATAACCAGTTTTGTAACAAGTCAGAATATGCATTTACCTCAAAATATTTCCACAGCTATACATGCTATACTGGTGTGTTTACAATGAGCTAGTAAAATTACGGAAAAAAAATGAAGATCTTAGACAGACATCAGACATATAGCTCAAGGCTCAACATTGGTTTGTCAAACTAGTATGTCGTCGCTCACGTGCTTCAAAAAGATAAACCTCCTTCCTTTTCTCCTGGTGTGGCTTTCTCCCTCCTACCATGATCTTCCTGCTTTTTGGGGGCACTGCATTTGGGTGCATAACTTACATTTCCAAGCAAAGAGAGAATGTTGCAATCTATTCACAGGCAAGTCTTAGTCATGTTCATTTTGTATATGTTCATATCACTCAGGCAAAGTTTTAATGCTTTAACCCGAGTAGTTGAATAAATATACTCAAACCCAAACCTCCTCACCCCTGTTGTATCGAGTGCTGCCAGACTGCCAGTATTAGTTATTCAGTATTACAGATGGCAGTTGATTTCACGAAATTACATGAGCATTTGTATAAACCATTACACAAATGGATTAAAAGATAATTCAAAATCCTGTTTATGTACCTATTGATGAATACCGGATAATAAAAAGCAAAAAAGAACTCTTTCCCAGCCAGAGTCTCAATTCGCTACTTTCATTCTCATGAGTCCAAGCTGCACCAGCTTCTTACATAGTTCAATCTTAGTCCCAACTTGGAACATTTTAGTTGGTATCATGCTGCATAAGAACTGAAATAAATACAACCCTAAGAATTAGGGACTTACAGAGAACAGCAAATGAGGGGAAAGGCAAATTTCAAACATAAGAAAGGTCATGCAAGTGGGACTGACAGACAAGAAAATAGTGAATAAAACAGAGGCAAATTATTGGTCGGATGGCTTTTTTTGGTCTAACAACACAACTAGGAATGAATACATATTATAAAACCAGATGAGCAGACTGTAAAAAAAGTACGTACAATTTTGCTAATGCGCCGTTCTTCCTCCATGAATAGCTGATTTTCACTATTGTCATAATCAAGGCTCTAAAAAGCAATGTAAGAACAAGTTAAAATTCATTCTGTGACACAACAACAGAAATTGATAAGACAAAGTAATGGACAATCTTCTTTTTTCAAATTTTGTGTATCTGCCAGCAGAAGTTTATAAACAGTAAATTCAGTGTATACTTTCCAAAACAGGCTCTTCAGACCATCACTGACAATGGGAATATGATGTAGAAAACAATTATGTTCTGCTGATTATTGTATAGGCTAAATTCAGATGCCACTGCATTTTTAAAAAAATATCTGCATTTATAAATGTAATTTAAAACCCAAAGGAAGGACAGTCTTGAAAATGTTCTTAGACCAAGTGTATACTTGCTTCCCATTTCTGAATGTTCCTTTTTAACTTTTGTTTTTGTGATTTGTATCATCTGTTATTTCCTTTTTTCCTAATTATTTTATTAGTGCAAAGTATACTCTCAAAAGAATTAGGCAATTTTAATACAAATATATGATTTCACTTTAGCATTAAAGAATCTAGATGAAATGCATGTCAAAACAAAAGATCATTTCACCAGCAGTTTCTCTATTCATCCAATTATACACATTGCCCACACGAACATAAATTAATTCAATGGATTTTGGGTTGCTGAGCACACATGAAAATCTCTGTGGTGATCCAATGACCGTTTGAGAAGACAACTGGTTGCTGGAGTACACCCTATAATGCTGTCGCACAGTAAAGAACACAAAAGGTTATCCCATTGTTTCTTCCTGGGTATCTCAAAATCAAATTGGCATCTGCAAAACTGCCAAATGAAGGAACCATCAAATTAATTAAAAATCCTTAAATTTAACTAGAAAGGAATGATCTGTCAAAGTTATGATTTATACACAAGGGTCTCTCCTTCCTAATTACTAGGGAAGTCCTACCAATTTGGCATGTTTCTTTGATGTTAAGACAACCTTTTCCAACAGTCAGCCCATAATTTAATACACAAAATGGAGTGACCAAGAGTGAGAGAAGGTTAGGAAAGCGAGGTCGGAGTTGGGGTTAGCAATAAGAGCAAGGGCTCAGATGGAGTCGGTACTGGAGCTTCAAAGCTCACTCACTTTCAGACATGGTCATAACCAAAAGGAGAGGAAAAAAAAAACATGCACAGATATTTTGGGCTTTCAGTCAATCTTAAAGCTCTCCTCCCTTCACTATCTCTCCCCCCGCCCCCTCACAATCACCATTAAGATCCTTGTACAGGTGCAACCCACTGTTTGGTAAAACTGGTGTTAAGGAATATGCAAACTGTAGAAAGTGAGAGTGAATGCTTCTTCAGAACATATAAAGTTTGACTATAGTCTTGCAAGATACAAAAATGTAGAATGAAGAACAGATATCTGTAACTTGGAATTCAAAGAGCTTAGCAGACATACACCTTAAGGGCAAAGCTTGAATAACGTGTGATCTCTAAAACCCAATCTAATTGCCTACTAAAAAAAGTTTTCTTCACTCACTAAGCAAATGTTTCCACCAAGTACAACAGGGGACACATTCATTTTTATATTTAAAAAACAGTACAGTGTTTTTAAATATAAGTATTTCTTTCCTTTCCAATCTTAACATGTTAATTCTCAACTTTGATCCCCCAGTTGACAATTAAACAAGCCAACTTGAACACCAATACCAAGCTATTAACTGTTTAATATACTTTGACTCATCTAAAAGGGGAAATAAAATCAATGCAGGGTTGAGGCCAAGGTGAAATCACACACGAATATATCAAATGGAGGTGCGGGCTCGAAGGGCTGAATTGCCTACTCCTGTTCCTAGTTCCTATGTTCATGTTTTTTCTGCAGTTCAAGCAGAAATGTCGTGTGAATTACATTTCATCAACATTGATACCTTTTAGAAGGTTTCAAATGCTTACAATTTTTCCGATCGACTTGATTTTATTCCTGCAGTGTGGAAATACAAATAGGAATAAACGTTTCGATCACTGAATTGATATTCTAATTAGTTCCATGACAAAGCGTACACTCGATGGCTTTTACATATACTAATAGTGCCAATTACCTCATAGTTAAGTGAAAGAAGATTTTCGTTATGTGTAATTTCCTTAAAAACATAAGTAGATGGATCGCCATCCTAAGAAAGAAAAGCACATGTTTGAGTACATAGCACACAACTTTTGCACTTCAAAACTTAACAACTACATTAAAAAAAAGACGACAGAACATGCTTTAATCTAGACAGCCCTTAACTAATTTTTCAGCAACATTGGGAAGGAGGTTGCAGGAAGTTACTCAGGAACGTGTTCCTCCCCACCATCACTTTCAGTAGCCAGCTCAGTTCGACAAACAGACCATCTCTAAATGTGCAGAACACACCAATTTCATGCAACTAAAGGGAACTTAGCCAAGCTCATTTCCCACAATTTTCACTCTTCAATTACCAGTCACAGAGCCTTATCAGCCTCCAACATCTAGTGATCACCATTGGTAACAAAGGAGTCTCACAGAGCGATATTATGCAGGTTGTTTACCACCTAAATAGAAGCCAGTCTGAATTTTTTAAAATAAAAAGTTAATAGGAAAAAAGACTAATAATCATGAAATCCCTTAATTCCATTTTAGGGAATGAAGAAATAAAAAAAAGGTACTATAAATGTTATCCACTACATGTATGTAAAGTTACAATGGGACTTAGGTGGACATAAAATGTTTATAAAGTAAAGTAATTACCTGGTCCTGTACAGTATCATCATCTAGATTGACAGTGGTCAGCCTGTCGATACGGAAAAAGTTGTTTTGGGAAAGCTGTAACATCAAAAAAAATCTACATCACGTTTACATGTATGTTTTGAACACAAAATGAAATAACATAATAACAGAAGACATTTGCAAAATAAAAGTCAAAGAAAAGCAGAGATTTTGATGCAAATTCAAACTTGCGTCTCTAGAAATGTACAATTCATTTTTTTAGCTCTTATGATATGCAACATTCGCCATCTATAGAGAAGTCTTTCCTGAATAGATACTTGTTCCAATAACCATAGATATAAAGAAGCTATTTGCTCCGATCAGAGGTGGGACAAAACTAGATAGAGATCCTGAATAAAAGGGTACAATTTCAAAATTAGTGCTTGCACTTTCACACAAAAAGGTGGTGAAAATCTGGAATATTTTCCTTTGGGCTGCCAATGCTGGGATTTCGGAAACTTTCAAAATTGAGAATGATACATTTAGAATTAGTTGAAGGTATCAAAGGATGGATCAATGTTCCCTTCAGCTGAGTGAGTGTGGAGACACCATGGAAATGTTTAAAAAGTTATGCACTTTTCATGCATAAATGGCCGTGCAGAAAACATTAAAAAGATACCACTTATTAAATTAGATTCAATACACACAAAGAAAATAGAGGGATAACTGACATGAAGTGAAAGTTGATACACAAATTAGCCATGATTTAACAGAATGGAGGAATAAGTTCAAGGAGTTGAATGACACATGCTGGTTCCTATCACATTAGTCTCTAAATGTTGGCTAATCAGATTTCAAATTATGAATTCCAATCAAAAGCTTACACTGTTTCAGAGTAACTCATCTTTGGGTAACAAAGTTTAGTTTTCTTTCCCTCTTGAAAGATTTATGATTTTGCCCATAATACACATGCATAAATGTTTCACCATATTCAGTGTAATATTCCCCTTCTCCACCTACAGGTGCTCTGTGATACACAACAATCCACTATTTGCAAAAATCAAAATGTCAATAGATTATTCAGATGTGGAAAACATCACTGCTAAACTCAACCCAATTTAATCCTGAAAGTTATAAATATGCTCCATGTGAATTTTCTATCATCATTATCACAATGACTGACACGGGAGGGCTCTGCTGGCACAGTGGCCCTACCTCTGGACCAGGAGACCCAAGTCCTGTCCAGTTCCAGAAGTAAGAGACAGCATCTCTGAACAAGTTGATTAGAAAATAAGGATAAGTAAGAACTAGTGACACAGCGTGGAAGTGGGAAGACAATAAGAGGTCTACCTACTCCCGTAACAACAGAACCTTGCTAAGTATGATGAGTAAAACATACAAGAAACTTTTGCAACTATTTGCGGCACCAAGAGATTCATGTTACTACTTCCAAAATGCTCAGATACCTTTTTACTTTCTCATTCACAGGACGTGGTGTCACTGGCTGGGCCAGCAGTTATTGAACATCTTTTATGACGTTAAGAGTCAACCAATTGCTGTGGGCCTGGAGTCACATGTAGGCCAGGTAAGATGGCAGTTATCCTGCCTTAAAAAGGATATTAGTAAGCCAAATGGGTATTTATAACAATTGACGCTGGCTACATGGTCATCATTAGAATTTTTTTTTTTTTTTTTTTTTTAAGAAGTGTAGCTTTTTATTGAATTCAAATTTAATCATCTGCGATGGTGGGATTTGAACCCATGTCCACAGAACATTAGTCTGCTATGCTGGATTACTAGTCGAGTGAAGTTATCACTACATCACAGCCTCCCAAACTAGAACTGTCTATCAAACTAAACCTGTCAACATAAAAGCAAAAATTAAAAATGAAATCAGAATACATTGTATCAAAACATTTGAGTAAATTAAAAAGCTCTTCCAATTACTCCAAGGATTCAATTTATTCCAAAGTGCAGGATGAATCCTAAAAATGCAATCCAGCTGCTCCTTTGTCTTGGCTATGTGCTTAATGTGGGGAAGTTTGTTTATTCATCTACTCCATGGTGTCCAAACATAGGGGTCCCACCTCTAAGCCAGGAGGCCAAGGTTCAAGTCCCACCTTCTTTAGAGGCGTGTAAATAACATCACTGAACAGGGTGATTAAAATACCCGTAGATCTACATATTCAACTAAACCCTTTAGATAAAGATTTGGACCAGGCCTTTTTTTTTAAAGCAATTCCTTGTCCACAGTCATCAACATCAAATGTAGTTCGGCTCCTGCACACCATTCTGAAATGAACATTTACCACAATCAGCCAACAATTTTGCAAACAGGAACTTGTTTTGCAATTTCTTGCTTCAAACAAAACTTGGAAATGCATCCCATCAGGTACTCAGCTGAGGACTAGAACTGACTGTTATTTGCTCTTCAAATTTACATTCCATTGTCTCAAAATTGTGTTTGTATCTTAAGAATATTCTTTTCTCAGGCATTTAACAAAGCTAGATCAGGCTGTTTCAGTAAAGCCGTCCTTTTTTTTTTAAGTATATCCTTTAACCAAGACTTTTCTGCAGACTCAAAATTGACTAAGAGAAACTCATTTTACAACTAAAAATACCTCTTGGCAGGCAATCATATTCATTAACAAATGATTGCCGACAATTTCTTCTCAATGAAAACTTCAAAGTTTTAACTCCAAAATGAAATTGAGCAAAGTCATCAGTAACTAAGTCAATCTACAACTTCAGAAATGTATTTGTGAAATGAGAAAAGCGTCCCGACTGCAAATGAAAATTAATTAGCCACTAGTCTGACCTCAACTATACCACCTGTGCTTCTAAATAAATTTAGAAAGTTACAGAAGGAGTTTAATGCATTTAGTTTGTCCCGTTTTGTTCTTCAACAATATTCTGGCCACAGATTTGCACACTTCCTCTAAACTCCACAAGCCATGAGACCTCAATAGCAGTGGTTTAACTGTAACTGGACAGAAATATCTGCTTCCTCAAAAACACAAGGTTAAATTTTGAATTATTTACCAACTGTAGCCACATATCTTTAATGGACTAATCACTCACATGAAGTTCAGTTATACAAAGATTTTAAAAATTGTTTGATACTAGAAATTGCTAAATTGCTCAACAATTTTTAAAAGACAAACATATGTCAAACAGTTGGCTTTAACCCTTCATCAGAACTGAAAAATTAGCATTCCTGTAGGGGTGGAGTAAACAAAGCAAGTTCAGAGAGAATTAATGCATTCAATAACCCTGCAACCACCTTAGAAGACAGAACATTATTGGTGAAAGAATGAAAAGTCAATAAGACGATAAAAGAATACACAAAATGCCATGATGTTGGAATAGAACAGGAAAAGCTCACACAAGGAAAATGCCAAGTAGTAACGGAAAAAACAGACCTAACACTGATTTGGCAACTTGGTTTCATTTCCCCATGTTAACAATCATTCTCAAGCAGGCACAAGTTCTGTTGTTAGTTCTCTAAAATTTCATCAGATTTTTCTGCAACTTAAGGTTTTAGTCTGTAAATGTCAGATGTCAATTTATAAGTAATCAAAATGACACACACTTTACAATGCATCCAAGCCCTTCGGAGAGCTGCAGTAATATTCTACTAAGTTAGAGTATTAGCCTTCCTACACAAAATTGCCTAGTTAGGGCAACTGGTGGCAATTCAAACAACTTGAGAAATGGAGATATAAGGATTGCAGATGCTGGAAGTCAGAATCGATAAAATGTGGAGCTGGAGATGCACAGCAGGTCAGACAGGATCGGAGGAGCAGGAAAGTTGACACTTCGGGTCTGGACTCTTCATCAGCCCTGATGAAGGGTCCAGACCCCAAACGTCAACTTTCCGCTCCTCTGATGCTGTCTGACCTGCTGTGCTTCTCCAGCTCCACATTTTAATCGAACTTAAGAAATGGTCTAGGTTTCTACCTGCACCCCCTCTCCGGCCCTTAAAAGTTGCATGATCATTTCTGATCTGACAGTGATATTTAATTCTGCTTGTCAATAACAATTGGTCATCATGGGATATAAACTGATTAAAAGTAAAAGACTATAGAGATAAATTGGCTATGAAAGTATCTACAAATAGGTGTTAAGACAAAAAAAAAGAGATTTTTCAAGAATAATACAGCAAAACATCTTGGGAACATCTGGCACAATATATAGAACTGTGATTATCTACTTTTTTTTAAACTAAACAGGAATCATCTGTTTTTATAATCTGGTCCTAGGAACCAAGAGAACTGACAGTATGGAAAGAGAATAGGTTGATTGAAGAGAGGAAACAATATTCTAAGCTGCTAATATAAAATACTCAGGCCACTAAAACATCATAATTACCATTCAAAGATGGTTCTCTGGACCGTGGTAATCAAATAACATTTATAAGAACTCCAGTACTGTCAGAACATGTTTAACAGATTTAGAGTACAATTGTTATACGAGCTGATTACCACTTGCCCAAAGTCACAAGACTCCAATTATTAGAATTAGTTACCTGGGATACCGCTAATTGATCCAAGTTGAGCTAACTCACCAGACAGAATTTACAGCTCAGAAATATTTGTTCCAGAAAAGGACCTATGGTGATGTTCATGCTCCACGCACATTTCATTTCATTGCACCTCATCAATATAATGACCCAGGGTTTGCAGTCAATGGTGAAGCAAGAGAATTCTCTGATGACCCAGCAAACATGAAAAAGTTCTAGCTGACAGAATCCAGATATCTGTGGCAAGAACATTACCTCTCCCGATGTACAAATGATTGCAGTGTTCTTAAGTGGAGACTTCCAGCATCAAGCTTTATATGTAGCCAATCCATTTAAAGATTACTCAGTGAACATCATTAACAACCAAAAAATTACAATTAAGTTTTGAAAAAAATCTAAATCGTGAAGTAAGAAATTTAACAATATTCCACTATTTCCTTCAGGGCCAGGTCAGTTGCTTAGTGATAGTTATTACCCAGACCACCAAAGAACCTGTTAACCTTCAACAGGTCTTTATATGGTACTAATGCGAAAACAACACAGCAAGGAAAATGTGTAAGTCTTTAAAACATCTCTGGAATCTTGTAGAATATTT